TCCTTATCAAGACGTCTTGACACAGTTAGTAGGTCCGGAAACAATCGTATCACGATAACGTATCGTGTTACTGTCTCATCGCTTCGCTCTCGTTCATAGAGCAAGGTGAACTCGCAATAATTTCAAGAATATTGTAGGAACCATTTTGGAAGGCTTTGTTTGGGAAAATCCCTCCGTGTATGGATTTGTAATATGTCCTTATAGATTGTTTGAGTTTTACATCTTGGTATTCTGTTCAATTACATTTTGGGATGATAACATGTGTATTTTATTATATTTTGTATTTTTTGTGCCTTTACTGAGTTTCTATGTTTCTTTCCGAACTGCATTATGTTGTTTAAGCTGATACTTAATTATGGCGACATCCATATTGATTTTGTTCCTCTGGCGGTTGGTACTCTTACACTGACTGTAAGCGTGCAATTTGGATTGGAAATGGGGGCAATCTTCCGGTGTTGGAAACACTCTGGTGTTATAAGAGCGATAGAATATCCTTAATTAGAATACTTGAAGGGATAACGCTGTTATTTTTAAGGTAATGATGTATATTCATATTTATGATTAGTAATAGGACTGTTACTTACCCAGATCACTCGTTTTGGATTTAAACAGGGCAAGAGGCATATCTAAACTTCCTGGACAGTCATTCCTTAATCCGAACCTCAGTTTGGACTCTAAAAATATCGATTGGCGACGGTGGTTCTTGAAAAATGGATCTTTCTAAACTTGAATTTTTACTTGAGCAGCAGCTTAAACTAACACAGATTTTGACAGATAACAAGATTACACATTCCGCACAGCCTAGCTTATCTAATGCAACCATAGTCCTATCACTCGACGGCATCGCAAATTACATTGCTGAGTCTCATTATGACCCTGATGCCATTGCTACTCTTAGCATGTGGTTCTTGCGTTATGAAGATGTAGTCGAATTTAATTTTGCCAATCAAGATGATGCTTGAAAGGTACGGCCGCTACTTCAAAAGTTGGGTGCACTTGAGCTGGACAAGTACAGTAATTCGATGCTGCTTTGAACCCACTTGATCCCTCATACGCAAATACAATCCAGACATTTAGCCAAACTTTCGGCGACAACTCGTTCTTGATGTTTGAAGTTAGTTATGAACTAAGATGATGACTTTCTTACGCATGCAGGCATCGTTAACCGGGAATGCGAACGTTTCCGGTTGAAGTCTTTGTCTGAAGACCAGTTTAAAACCCTTATCCTCATTTGCAGTCTCCAGTCTCAAAAGTTCAGTGGCATAATAACACGACTACTGTGTCGAATGGAGCAAGATCATAAACTCACTCTAAGTGACGTGGCCAATGAATAACGATGATACATTATTCTACAACGAGACATGACTATGGTTCAGAGTGGTGCTTCTAGTCGATCTGAAGTGCATGTAGTACAGTGGACACGTAACTAGAGTAAATTTGCACCTGATACACTCAGTCCATCCCACTCCAGGTCAGTCCGAAACACGAAAAGGAATTACTCTGCTCCTGGCTGGCACTGTGGTTCATCGCAGTGCCCATTCGGGCAACATCGATGCAGGAAGTGTAAAGTCGTCGGTCATAAAGATGGTTTTTGTTCAAAGAGAAGGCCAAATTGTTCCAGAAGTAGCAAAAAGTCTGTTCCAAGATCTGGTATCGATTCTTTGAGTCAAATATCTTCCTATCAAATCTCATCATTTGGTGAGAGGAAACGCATTACACTTTATATTATTTGGCATTCGTCTAGACTGTGGTTAGATACTGCATCTGATGTCACCATTAACTGACGTAAAATTTGGACCAAAATATGCAGCCCAAGCCCGAAGTGGACAACACGAAAGCCTCCCTCTGCATGAGGAAATTACCTCAGCCTGTTGGGACAACTGGAATTTAAAGTTACCTTCCGAGGTTCGTCATCTACTGGGGTATGTCATAGGACGTCAGCACCAACTAAAATTAGCTGATTTTCCGTTAAATACCATATGCCTTCTGGTATCACGACTACATGGCCCATTTGCAACGTTACCGAAATTAGATGAAGAACTGAATCGCCTTCAACAACAAGGAGTCTGTTATGTTCGTCACTAGGTACGCTTGAAGCTATCACGAGTTCACTTTAGTCGATAAACGCGAACGAGACAATTACCAGCGTCCAGGTAGGCTACCTTGAATCCCAAACTGTAAAACAGCAGTTTTGGTAAGCGTAGAAAGTATATTCTACAACACCCAGCAATCACAGCACAATCAAGCACACAACTCTCGTTTATTTATACATCATAGAAACGTCCTTGGGGCAGATACTAAAATAGCACACTAAAATACACGGCAGCCAATCCCAGCCATGGATTTTCCTGGTGGGAAATGAAATATCAAGGTCAACTGATCAGCCCATGCTTGCAAACGTGAAATCCAAAATAAGGCATTTATCAAGAGAGTTCTGGGGACCTAACATCGTCAGCAGAGTCATTACGCCCGTTTCTTATTCTGCTCGGGCAGCACCTATAGTCGTTATCAAGAAGTCCAGCGGCACGATACTTATATATTCTGACTTTTCTACAGGTCTCAACGCAACTCTGGAACAACATCATTATTCCCTACCAGTTCCTGTAGATCTATTTACTCAGCTGAATGGGGTAAAGTTTTTCGCAAAGCTAGATCAAGCTGATGCTTATTTGCAAATGGAAGTAGATGAAGCATCAGGAGAGCCGCTTACTATCAATACTTATCGTGGCTTGTTCCGATACAACTGTCTGCCTTTTAGAGTCAGAACCGCTCAATCTTTCTTCCAGAAACTAATGGATACCATCCTATCAGTTATTTCGGCGGTCGCGGCTTATCTCAGTGACATTTTGATTGTAATGACGGCATTAAAAGAACTTCAGGAACGCACGAAAATAGTACTGCAACGTATTAGTGATATTGTGTTCCGGTTACACCCAAAAAAAATGCCAGTTTTAATTGCAGGCTGCAAGGTATTTGGTGTTTATCTTTGATGTCGACAGCCGCAGACCGGATCCTGAGAACATCCGAGCTATCAAACTGATGTCCACTCCTACTAATGTCTCGGCAGCCAGACAGAGAAGGAGGCTCCTGCCCTTGTGTTTGCCCTTCGCCGATTCCACAGGTTTTTGTAGGGTCGGAGATTCACGCTCCTGACAGATCACAAGCCTCTGTTAGCAGTATTCGTTTCTAAATCCGGCGTTCCAGCCCATTCTGCTAATCGTCTTTAGCGATGTGCCTTGATACTTTTGAGGTATGATTTCGAAATCCAATATCGATGCACTCAACAATTCGGTCAAGCAGAGGCTTTATCACGACCCTTTATTGATCAAGTGCCTATTGAGGAAAACATTAAAATCACATCTCTGTCAGCGAAAGACAGGGAGGAATGTTTTCTGACAACCGCGAAACGGGAACCACCGGTGTCTGAAAAGACAAACAAAACGCTTAAGGTAACGACACCATCATCAAGAACTATGCCACCATGTCGCCGATTCATCCTATAGAACAATTCAATGGGATTATCGAATTAACAGTTTAATTAAGAATGCATGAAACATTTCGACTGGGAACGGGAAAGCTGTGATCGATTCTGTAATTTACCTCTTTGATTAGATAACTATTTATGAGTTGTAAAACAATTGTGTATTATAGCGTTCTAATTACAAATGCAACAATTCAACACAATTTCAGTGAACATTTTTATGAATAATTTTATCTTGAGATTAGAAATCGTCCGACCAGCTATCAATATAACTGAAACTTTTGGTTATTTTGCAGTACTTGCATATCCAAGTAACAATTTAGCAAATTCAAACTATGGATTCTTAAAAATGTCAAAATCGGTTGAATGAATGTGGTACATATGTTTATAGTAAGAATTAATCTTTGGTGAACCATAGATATCACTGCATCTAACTCAAATACTCAGTTCAGTTATCACTAAACTTCATATCAGGACTGCAAGAGTAAACCGACAAAAGTTAAAACTTATTGGATATAATAAGTACGATTAGCAAAGTAAGCATATGAAGCAATGTGAAGAAATTATTAAGAGCAAAGTGTGGGGCGAGGTACAGGTTCAGAGTAGAATATAACATGCTCATCATTTCAATTAATTTTCAGTTAAATTGTATTCGTTACCGACCAATGGTTGTTTTACGTAAGTCTACAAAGCCGAAAATAACAGAATTGTGATATTGCCGTGTGACTACTTCGAGGCTGCTCTCTAACCTTATACATCTTCTATACCTGACATTAAGATCCTTTTCATGGATTTCCGTTGTTATAGTTTGCTATAGATTTATGATATTATTCGTGGGAACGAAACTAAGTGACTAGTTGCTTTGTGAAGGTATACTTTAATAAATACTGTGATGTTTGTGCTAAGTGACAGTTATTTTGTAAACTGTTACGTGTCCACTTCGGATTGCGATGTTATACCTTCAAGTGTGCTCACTGTATTCTCTCCTCCTTGAGTGCTGGTACATTCGTGTTTATTAGATTGCGTATCGAACAGTTCTGGGAATTACTGTTTCATTTATTGAGTTCAGTACTACTGCATCTACTCATCACAGTTTTGTGCTCAGAAGTCTAACCACTGAAACAGTGAAATAAAGCTGATAACGTAATAGTTATTTACTCATGGTTTTGTATCATGTACAGTGTCTGTTTGAAGATAAATTTTCTGATTTATTCTGAGACCAGAAATGCATCAAATACTCAATTGAATTTGATGCTCAATGTTTGACGACTATAATTACAACTTCAATGGAATCGACTCGACATCCCACATGAGAATATCTCTACGGTAAATTCTATTTTATCTGGGTTTAACTTTAATAACTCGATGAATAACAAAATAATCAGTCACAAAATCAAGAAGCGTATAAGCATTAAATATGTATATTTTAGAACAGTAATCAATAAAAAGTTTATGGTTACTTTATGTTAGTCATTAGAAGTAAAATTATAAACTATCTAGGAATTTCTGATAGGCATGTTTAATGACCACCATGGTCTTTTCCAGATCCTGGTTTATGACATTCAGTTCCACAATGTTGTTCTTTATCATGGCATCCATGACCGGCACCATCTGCTTTGTCGTGGCAATGTTCAGATGATTTGCCGTGGTGGTCTTTGCTGTCATGACCATGACCGGATTCATGGTGTTCATGATGTTCATGATGATGATGATCCTCTGAAGCGAAAAATATAAAAAATCCAATTAATTTAGTTTACTGTGTAAGTTAGCCATCCATCTGATGTGTGTATATTGAAGAGTGTGTATGTTTTAAAAACAGACACTCGAAACCTGATAATTAGGTATCCATTGTGGTTTAGTATTTATCATACAGATATATATATATATATATATATATATATATATATATATATTTTAACGCACGAATTCAAACCATATAATTAATATGATTGACATCCGTTGCTTACGGCTTAGCTGTTTGACACATGAGCTGAACATAGTACGTCAGTAGGACAGTTATAAATTGAGTGCGTTACTTCATTATACTTCAAACATAAATCTAACAAAACCCATGAACCGAAACAAGCGTTAACCTGGATTCATGTGAAATTTGACGTGATAATTGGAATTCATATTCACTGTTAACCATAGTTCTAAGTGAAGTCGATGGGGCCGTATGTGACTATTAGTTGACCTAATGACTGTTAGTAATGAAGCTACTTCTGTACAAATTCGTTTGGCTAAAACTGTATGAACAGTTTTTGTGTCTGGAGAGGCAAGTTCACGATTACAAAAGCGATCAATACCAAGAAAGCTTATATGGTATTCGATCAATCAAACCTGTTGGGAAATTTTGTATTATTTTTCTGTAGAATACGATTTAGATCTGAAACTACAGTAAATGGTGTTAAGTTGATTTTTTTACTCTGAACTGGACCCCAATCGCTTATGAATTCCAACTATGGTCAACGATCTAGCTGTTATTCTATTGAAATGAAAGTAATTGTTATAGGTTGGACGAATTTGTGAAAGAATTGGACGTAGTTTACTGAGATTCCAAATGCTAGACAATATTGCTTCACAGCATGAGTGCATTTAAAATAATCATGACATTGTGACAGTACTTAATTACTGAATATAAACAACATTAGACTCGTAGTTTCGTATGTCCTAGTAGACTTTAAGCATGAAATGATCATCATCAACGCATTGAAATACATTATACTACTTCAACCACATTTGACGACATAATATAATATGTCATTGATACGTACACCAGATGTCTACCAGTTTACGAGTCATCTACAAATCAGTACGGTATTTAGTAATACCATGATGTTAGACTGCACTGTTGGACAATTCATTTCCACAATCATGACAATAGTTAGAATTAAAGCATAAATTTTAACAAGTATAATTTACTTACTTTCATGGGAAGACATAGTTGATATTAATTGCTGTGTAGTTTACCAGTTACTTGATATTCTGTTCGTGCACAACATCATTTATATAGTGGAAAATGTACTTCCGGTTTAACTAATTATTTAAGGTCATTCAGATATCAAAAAATTGTTTCAATGAACTGACAGTTTATTTATACATATCATCCATATAACTCATGAATTAATTATCACGTCTCATTTTATTTTATGCAAAATTCGGTGAGCTTCATATGATTCGTGAAATGAGTGATTTATTCTGAATAAACGATTTATATGTTGAATATTTAAGTTTGACATCAATATGATGACCTGAAATCACTCTGCAAACAAATTTTATCCTGAAAATAAATAGATAGATCTTGGTATTTTCTAACGTATATTTCATTTCTCCATATACACAGAACCAAAATCAATTTTGTGACAATCAAACAGCGAATCCCCTAAGCGTAGATGCTTGTCAAATTGCAAGAGTTTCATCAACCTAATATTAGTTAGAACTAACCTATCAGCTTTAATGTTTTTGTTAAGCCACGGTTGAACTGGAGTTGAGATCGAAACTGATGATTTGTTAATATAGATCATTTCAAGAGATAATCTGAGAGTGGTATGTGAACTAATTGAATTTAAGCAATTTAGAAATTATAACGAAATATCCTACATCAAGGAGATTTTACCCCCTGATTTTTAGATTTCTGTAATCTAGCGAACACCAACTTGTACTGAAGGTACTCAGTGTGTATTCGATGTATATTGCAAAACTGACCGAAGTGAAGACTATGTTGGATTTTATTCGTGACCACACGTGGTCATCTCAAAGAGTGTTGTAAATCTTTTCGTCAATGTGGAATCAAACGCAGTATTACGTCGATGAGATCTGTCTTCAGCTAAATTGAATCTCTTGAAACGTATGCAGTTGAGATAATAGCGAGTATCGCACAGAGGTCATACGCTATTGCAGTTCCCTACAAATTGTACTGAATTCACTAACGAGATATGTCCTAAATGTAGAACAAACGTGTGAAGAATCAATGTAGACAATCGACTAGACAACCAAATGTTTAAAACTTAGATTCCGGGTAACTGCAATCAGAATGCTTCTTATTTTCCTTGTCAAAGTTTCAACAGGAGTCAACGTGACAATTTTTTATCAAGTATAATCTTGTTGTGTTAAATTTACTGATTTTTCCGGTTCACTTTTCGTCATATTCCTTTTCATTAGGATTTCGTTGTTTTAAATGTAAGCTTCCCGATTTCGCTACTTAGTTATGCTACTTACTTTCGCAGAATTCTCCTTTATTCCAACCATTTCAGTATGCAATGTGTTAGTAATTTTTGCTAGCAGTATTTGGTTGACCTTATTTGTATCTATCAGCTTTATTGATAGCATTTTGTACTTGTACTTTATATTGCGATTTATATGAAATGCATACCCAGTGGTAGGTAATATTTCATGTGTATGAGGTGTTTATATTTTATATCATCAATGTTCGAAGTATTTTATCACATTTGAATGGATATTGAACAGTGTTATTAGGACTGGTTTATATTGATTTGTATTTATTGGTTAAGAAATAATCTATAGCATATTAGATAAGCAGAGATCTCTATTCCATGCTATTTCTTTGAACGCATCCGTTTTCACTGTTATTTAACTTCTTATACCGAAAATCATCTATTCTGGTATTGTTAATTAATGAATGATCATTGTGGACGACTCTAAACAGTATCTCCAACCATTAGTTATCACAATCGTTTTGACTACAACTGAGTAATTTATATCTACCTACTTGATTTAGTCTTCATGTTAGATCACTAAAGCTCACTTGCAAAAAGTCCTAATTTTGTAATTCATTCCTGAAATTTTGAATTTTTGTGTTTTCGCGCTAAAGATGCCTAACTGACCTTCAGCTTACATTTACCATTTGGAGAATCCTTGACTGTCATTAGTTGATGGATTATTTTAGTACACTATTTTATGGCTCCCACCAAGGGCGTTTTATCACAGTATAAATAAGCTCGAGTTGTATGCTGGTGGACCTCATATTTTCTGGGGGAGTGTGATATACATTCTCTCTACGTCTTATCAAGACTTCTTTCTCTAGTTAGCGAGACCTGGAACAATCAGATTAGAATAGCCTATCGTGCATCTGCATCAATGAACTTTGTTCCGTTTACTGAGTAAGGTGAACTCGTAATAGTTTCGAGTATATCAATATGTCAAAGAACTTGTGAATCGGACAGACTGTTAGGTTTATCCTCCACTAGATTCTCCAAACATATTACACTAACCATCATTGGCCATTAAGAAAGAGGGTGGATGAGCATATGTAATACATTTTCCGACCTCCTCAGTAGTCAACCGATTTGGCAATTTTACCAATTACTCTCTGTCTAACTTCAGAATTACACATTCAATGGTTTGAACATACGAGATCAGTGTTTTGAGTGCATCGACGACCGAACACTCGTAACCTATGTCTTCGATTTCAAAGGTCATGTTTTACATCCATAAATGGAAAGAAAGAGAACTCTCACTCAGTATACTCATATTTTAGTTGGTAGATGGACGTCTCATTTACGGCACAAATAACATGAGTTGGTTAAAGAGTTGATTTCTCTGAATCCGTGCCAAGATTCCGTCAGACACAAACTAACCAGGACATACGTGGCTTCTGAGGTAAGTGAAGTGGTTGACGCACTCCAGTGCCTTAGCTTCTATCATCAGTTTAAGTGTTGACACTGACTAGCCGTAAAGCGACACTGCAACTTGAAGGACTTGAACTAAATCTTAAGATGAATTCTTATGATTTCTGCTTTTGTGTGTGAATGGAGATTTCATTTGACATTATACACTAAAGAAAAAGGTTATTACCTAGCTTGCATACCGTTTTGTTTGCTTACTGAGTTTCATGGTTTCCCACCAGAAAAGTCATGCTATTACCTACCAATTGAGGACATAAACATTTAGTTTGCCAACAATTGCGTTTTAGAAGTATCACTTGTCGAAAATTGTCGATTCTGAGCGAACAACATTATATCGTATGTATTACGTCTATCGAATGAGATTCAACAATACATTCTATTTTTATTTATCTCATCTTTGCACACGACGACAGTGCTCAGTGTACAGTTTTCTATCCAATTTTCTTAGTTACTTACGTTAAGACTTTCAAATTACTCATTTGCTGCCAGTGCAACATTTTACACTGTTCACCTTGAATCTCACAATAATTCTTATCATTAAGTCACTAGGCGGTTGTTTCTTGCAAAGATGAAAAGGAATTAATTCTACTAAATCCTCTCCCCACTACTCACTGCATAGATGTTTCTTCTAAATATTACATTAGTCACCAACATTCAAAAGTGATTGTCAATGAGTATTGTAAATATAAAACAGTCTCTTGATTGTTGTATGATATTTCATAAATTCGTCGCAGTCAAATCTTTCATTACGGTAATTGTATTATTCTAACATTCGTGATAATCATCTTTATTTCTTTTTATCCGTTGGTGAAATACCTGTTCTGTATTCAGTGTGGAGAATTCGGGTTTCTATTTGTTGTCTGTCATTTTAGAATTTGATCATGTAACTGATTGTTATCAATTGAACTTACGCAACTGCTGTAGGAAGAACTTCTCCACTGATTGTTCTTTGACGCATCTAATAGTTTCAGACATCTCACAAACCAGGATTATTTATATTTGAACCTCATGTTTCGATTTTATATTTTATGCATGATTCAGTTGTTTGATCTGATTTCGCTAGCAGTCTCAGTAAGTATCTTTATGAGTGAACAAACTATGGCAAAACATGTCTAACCATATTTTACTTAGTGTATACAAAGTGGTCATGTTCTGTATTTAAGTTTCCGAGAAAAGAGTTTCTGTCAAGTTTGTCTACCTATTAATGGAATGTATCATTCTAGTTTATTAGCTATTTGCATTGGTTAAAGCTTCATTTATTTGACTCTATCTTTTCTGTCTTTGAAATGCAGTTTAGTCCATGTATCCTTATCAAATAATAAATAATTTCAAAATATTTTTGTGATTAATTTAAATTTTTACAATAATCGCCTTGTCAGCAGTTTGTTGAATCTTGGAGCATTTTATTTTCATGGATTTTTTCATGTTAATTGTCTCCTAATTCGTAACATCCGGTTGGGTGACAGTTGTAAATACTTCCTGCTAGTATATACTCATGCTAACTGAATAACAATAGTCAACGAAAAGCATTCACATGATAATTACGATTTTTAATTTCCAGAATTTACATGGATGAGGATAATTAAATAGATGACGACTGGAATTTGTTCGTTCCTATGCGAAGTTGGGATATAAGCCCAAAAAATTTTGATAATTGTTTTATCCGAGTTTTGAGAATTCAAGTTCATGGTAGAATGTTATACTCTCAATGTTTTATTTAGTGTTTGTAGTCAGTAAATTTTTTATGGTGAACATCAACTAGAAAATTAATAAATGCAAGATATGGTTGAATACATTATCCGTGAATATATACTTCGGTTGTAAGAAAACAGAGTAAATATCAAAACAGATAGTACACATATAGTTATTTGACTAGCTGTATCGATTAACAGTCTGAATAATTCGATGTCATTATCGACTATACATATTTGAATTAAATCCGATATTTGTTTCGATCATTAAATAATTTCAATAATAAAGAAATTGTGGCAACGACTCGTGTTCTCTCGTAGCGATCATCAAGACGTAGATATATAGGAAATCGAAGATAACGAAAGTCCAACGATTACGTCAGAGTGACCTCATCTCATTCCCGTTATCTTCAATTGGTTTACAAAGGTTAATCCTAGTAGAATCCGGTTGAATATCGAAAAGTATTATTTTTTATAGACTATAAAAACAGAAAACAGCTAGTCAGTCGAAAGATGCACACACACACACAGTACTGTTATTTACATGGAATTTATAAAAGGATTGATTTATTAACAGGAGTTTGATAAAAAGAAAAACTGGTAATATAAACTTGATTCGAGTTAAAATGTCATTTCGAACCGGTTCGAAAAATTTTTTTTAATGCTCCAATATTGTTTTCTTTCAATGCATCATGGGACATGGTTATTACATTGGTCTTGATCTTTCCGACTACAGAAAAACAACAATAAAATTATATTTAATGACGAGTAAATAATTTGTAAATTATAAACCATTTTGAGTAAATAATATCTAACATGACTACTAAAAATTAATTGACTTTTTTTAATGATAAACACAAAAGTTGCTGTTTGCTTGTAAGTTTTAACAGTTGAACAATAACATCTCTTGGCTGTTAAGTGTTTAGTTGTTCTTAGAGCTTTATACAATGGTGCATTAATGCAGCTTTGTCAGGTATCTTAGCGAAACAACAACTGCTTGATTATAGAGAAAACTCTGTATGAATGGTAAAATATAATGCTTATTTCAAGAAAAAGAATACAATAAGATACGATGAGTGTCTCTCAGTTCTGTTTTGAATTCGTTAGCTCAGAACATTGAATGGTTTACATTGATGATAATGAGAAATGAGAAAAGAAAACATTTTTCACAATAGTACATACAAGTAATCAATTAACTTAAATTATTGAATCTAAAACCAATGTTTTGTGTGACAAATGTTTCCAAGAAATAGTTGACATATTTTATGGCATACCTTATTAGAAGCTTCATTTTAATCTGTTTCGCATATTGTAGTTCTTTTTTTCACTTCATTAGAAGCTGAGCACAATGTCATTCGACAAATATCACAGATAAGTGTATGAACAGTACTGACATTAGTGCTAAACACTACTAACCTAATCTTTTAATGAATTCATCAGAGAATTTAGTGCTAAACTATCTAATTATAAATCTATTCGTAATCATCGTGTTTGAGTAACAAGTCTAAAATAATAATGTTAGTTCCAGTAGAAATTGAAAAATCGTGACTTTCGTGCTGTTTCTCAAGCGTTGCTTCCTGCTCGTAAGAAACAGCTGTCCAGTTCTCTCTGACTGACAATAGTTGTCTCATTATAATTTGTTCATGTTTGCTAACTTGAAATTCATTTTCTATTTCTTTGTTTTAAATGTTTGTAACATAAAACAAGAAATGAAATTTCTAACGAATGCATCATTTATGAACGTTATGTGTATTCAACCAGAAACTTTTTACAGTACAATATACTACTCATTAACAAAACCTATAAAATTATGTGGAATATATCAATGAAATCGGGAAATAAAATCCTTAGCGATTTTTCACACATCTAGTTATTTAAAAAAATGAAATTTGACACTTGTTCAACTAATGATCATCATTGTGAAATTTGTATCTCTCACCTACAAAATAATGGGAAGCTTTGCTAACTCGTTAAAATTAGGGAAAATTAGCTAAAACAGTTTTATAGTGTAATACAAATTAGTTAAGAGCTTTATAATAAAAATTTCATTTAACTCCGTAATTTTACAGTATTACTAATCTGTTTCTACTTAGAATCAATATGTTAAAAACTCAAGTCTGCACAAATTAAGCCACTGAGTGTAAAAAAGTAATGACAATCAACCAAAACATCCAGTTCAGAGAACGAAACTCCATCACAACCATGCACCTTAACTATAAATTTTAAATATATATATATATATATATATATATATATATATATATATATATATATATATATGCAGAGAGAGGGATCAAAATGAATTACCTCTCAATGAACTAACATGTTCAATAATCTGGTTAATGTATTTTAAACAGTTCATCGAAGCTTCATAATCCATATTTCTGGAATAATAATTCGACACAATATCATCATTTGCGGCCGATAATAATTGAATTGTTTTTTTCAATGATTTCCTTCAAAAGATGAAATGATAAATGAATAATAATTTTATACAAATTACGATAAAAGGGTAATAACTAAACACACTGTAGTTGGACAGTTATAGATTACTTAAATCAGCATTACTATAATTTTGCTGACCTACAATTACTATCTACGTATCTGTATCACTGATGTTTCACCTCTATCATTCATTTAAAATTGTGCGCAGATGTTAATATTCTCCTTTACCAACATGATTCAAATATATTTAAACAATCGTTATGTAATATAGTAATGTTTATTCATGCAATCATCTTTTCATCATCTTTCTCTCTTTATTTGCTTTGCATCTGGGTTATCAACGTTCACGTTTTGTCATGTGTTAGTCCCCAGTCTATCTAGTTTGCTGAGATATTGTATTCTTTAAAATCATTGCCTCAGCAGGTTTGTGTATTGTTAATAATCAAATATATCCTCAAATCATAGTATAAAGATAAAGTATTTTCGATTAGTAATTGACTTTATTTGTCACTCTGAAAAATATTTAAATTACAGAATAGCCTCCTATTCGCTTAATTTAAAAATTGTCGGTTGTATTAACGAACGAATCTTTATTGTTTTAGGTCATACATTTGTATTCATCAAAATAATGCATTTAAAATAGTTAACGATGTTCTTTCCATAACTTTATTCAACTTCGTATAAAGATTTGAAGCTATTTTTCTTGAAAATGTTCACTGTATATGTGTGTAGAGTAATTTATTCAATGAACCCCTTGGTATTATCTTATCGTCATCAACTAATGCATAGAAATATATTTCAGATGAAGTTGTTACCGTTCCGCCTTTCACATAATGATGCTTTAATTTACTAGTGCTGCAAGATTATAAATATTACAGTCCGCCGTGGACGGACGATTTATCATTATCAATGCACTGGTCATTCGACGGTTGTAACATAAACCAGCCCTATTTTTTAAGGTATTCATGATCGAATGCTAGAAACCTTAAAACTTGTTCAATTTTTAAGTCGTTTTAGGTCTATTTTTATTGTCCTTAAATAAAACTGATTAGTCAACAACATATAATCGGAAAAGATAATAATAATATTATCAAAAATAGCTTTAGTGACCATTTAACTGGCAGCTTTATCCAATCTATCCTATACTAAAGGCAATTATTTTATCAAATCGTAAATTTTTTAGAATCAATTTTCAATTCACTATATAAATGTTAGTTGATTTCAGGTAAATGTAACTTTGACAATTCTACCAAAATCATATTAAAATTTGACAATAAAAACTACTCTCTGTTCAAACACAGAGTGGCTACATTTTTCTGACCAGCAAACAGTCATGAAAAACTGACATACCAATCACCGGCTAGTCGATAATCTTCTGCTTTGACGACTAATGTTTTTATATGATCTGATTTACTTGTCATATCCATCAAAACTTGTTGCTGGGTTGAAGAATAAGCGTTTGACTAGTAAAAAAATTTTTATAAAAAGACAAAGGATGGGATCAATTCTTCTGATGTCTCTAATGGATGTGATAATCATAATGTAACTTGTCATTTCATTGATAAAATTTTCTATATTAAGTTTGATTTTCAGTAATCAACGAAAAGTATAATATTCATATTGGTCTGTTCAAGAACCGAACTCTGCGAATATGATGCACATTCGGTTTTGAAGAGATTATGTGTAAAGAGGCGCTTAAAATTCTATATATGACAGTTTAGTTTGTTTTAACTTACAAATATAAACTGTACACTTATTAAGTGAATGATACGATAATAACGATGTACAATAGTCATTTTGTACAAAAGTGTTACTGAACTCACAGAAATAACCATTTCAGCAAAATTAAACTTAGTAATTTGTTTTAACAATGAATTCGTCCAACTTAAGGTCTGTTGAAAATGACTTATTTGAGGTATCTAGAACACATAAATGAACCAATATTCTATACAAAATATTCAACTGTTCGGATGAGACTACTTATCTGTAATAGAAACTGTTAAAATAACCAATATACATTTTAAGACAAATGTATGGCAACCGTATGCGCAAATCTACTTCGTTAATGAACTGTAGACTTGTCAGACAATTATATAAGCATAATTAGTAAGTATTTAGACGATAAAATCACCTAAAAAACCCTAATGAGTGTACGTCGACATTTAACACTATGCCTACGATTGTTTAAATCCAGGATTTTTAATAACTCCGCCTGTAGCCCCTCCAGGGCTACTGCTGACCCGACGACCGGATAAAGTAGGAGGCTTAAGGTTGGTGTGGCGACCCCATTCCGTAGAAAAATAACTAGATAAAAAAAACACCAACAAGAAAAAATAATTCAAACCATTTTAACTCTGCCCTGAGAGTTAGAAGGTCTTCGTTCAAACGAGTTATGACGTCTCGTGATGAAAGCCGGGTTCATTCACAAAATACTAGGCCGGTGCCCCTTCTGACAACCAGAGACCTTCCACGTCCTTACACCTCTCTTATCTTTACGACCAATCCTTCTCAAGTTTCTTTATCACCTCCTGCCGTTAATATAAACGATTCGAGTTCACAAAATGTTATTCCTGGTCTCCTGAAATCCCGCTCTCAACAATATATTGGAGCTTTCAATACTCAAAACGTGTGTCAAATAGGACAACAGGCTTCTTCTGATAGGACTCTCGAATCCCATGACATCGATGTATCCTGCTTCTCCAAAACGCGTATAAGGCATGCGCGTTGAATCAACAATTCGACCTCAACTTGTCTAAATAAAAAACCATCTTGATATACACAGCGTGTATTCCAAAGTCTCACTGATGGTCCCAATGGCCTCACTAATGTAGGTATAGCACTGAGTAACAGGGCAGAACTAGTTCACGTAAAATGAATTCCGGTAGGTAGTCGCTTCTGCAATATCAGACTAAACGGGACAGCAAGGATTCGCAAAGTTGGGGACAGTCGCCGTTGTCTCTTCGTCATGTCTGCCTACACTCACACTGACTACAGCTAAAGCGAAGCAAAAGAAGAACTTTCCTGAAAACATTCTAACTTTGAAAAAGGTAGGCTCTATGTTATAGTAATAGTTGCTGATGACTTCAGTGCACAAGTAGTTAGACGGAGCAGAACTGAAACACACCTGGGTGGACCTTATTATGTTGCTACTCACAGGACAGATAATGGCAACTTTGTTAAGTTAACCACCTATTCCTAGCGAATACTAACCTTAGGCACAAGGAAAAACAGCTTTTAACCAGGCGATTCCAGAATTTGTTCTGGGAAACACATTCAGATTTGTACCATGCTCTAGTGCGAGTACGTAGTTGTTTGCGACTCCCGGAAATTAGGAAAGACATGGCAAGCAAACCTCATCAGGTTTTACTTAATGCTAGCAAAGCCATGAATACATTTCAAAAACAACTAGAAAAACACTTAGGTGATCGTGGATTAAATTACCATCGCGAGATAGCTTGTAACGATATCAAAAAGACTGTGAAAACAGCAGTAATATCTGCTAGTAAGGTAAATCATAAGCTTAGGGAGAAGCAGTGGATTTCAGTCTCATCTGCCGAACCAATGGATGCTCGGAAATTCGTCCAGTCTGGCTCTGATATGACGAATGGCGAAATCAGCTTAAGCGCAAGCTGACAGAGAGCCTACACGATGATTGTGAACATTGGTGGGTAGAGAAATCAAGATCTATGGAAAAGACAGAGGCGATATACAACAGTAGACTAACGTTCCGACTTGTCAAGGAAACTCGTACTAGGAATCCAACTGTAAATGAGACAATCTCGGAAAAGGATAGACTGATTATTCATTCTCAATCCAGGAGGTTGGATCGACGGGCAGGGCAGCTCAGGGGTCAGTTCAGATGGCTTACAGCCACACTTCAGTAACTCACAATCTCCAGTCAACCAGAATGGCAGATCAGTGTAAGCCCTCTAACGCTTAGCGAATGTGAAAAGGCGATAGGACATCTAAGGAGAGGGAGATCAGAATACCTACTGAGACGTTTGGGAATGATGTTCTAGTTATAACAGTAAGATAGACTGAGATCTAAGGTAGTATATGGTAACTGGATGTCTCAATCACTGATTGTCTCACTCTACAAAAGAGGACAAAAGTCCTCTTGTAACAATCACAGAGGAATCAGTTTAATCTGTATACTGCTTCAGTTTTCAGCCTAGATAATACTTCAACGTTAACTAGAGATCGTGAAAAGCAGACTCGAGAAAACTAGGTAAGTTTCCAAAGTGGATATGACACTATAGACCACATATTCACATTACGATAGGTCCCAGAACATAGACACAGTAGTAGTAGTTTTGGTTTGACCTTAAAGCAGAATTTGATTCTGTCGATCAGAAAGTTCTGTAGCAGTGTCTGTCTTTGAAAGGTGTACCAGAGAAGCATGCTAAACTTATGCAAGCTCTCTACTCGGTCACTAATGGTCCAGTGAGAGGTTATGGCGAACTGTCATCGGAATCCACTGCTTCAAGTGGTCTCCGTCACGGTTGTCCACTCTATCCATTCTTGTTTAAGCTTGTCACTGACGTGCTTCTAGATCTGAAACTTTCATCGCCTGACTTTTCAGGAGTGGACTTTCTACCAGGAGACTCACTTGTTGACTTAGAATATTCCGATGACATAGTTCAATTTGATTAAGACACTGAAAAAATGCATAATCTTTTGACTACTCTAGGCAACAATGCAAGCATGTTCGGCATGCGGTTTTCCTCCTCGAAATGCAAAATGTTACTTCAGGATTTGATTGCATCGACACCTGAACAAGTGGTAGGGAGTGAAGCAGTTGAGCTTGTTGGCTGCTTCAGTTATTTTAGGAGTCTCATCAATGCTAATGGCTCGGTGTGTGACGAAATCTCAGCATGGATACCGAAGGCTCAACTGACATTTTCCGACTTGTGTCACTGATGGTGTAGGCAAGATAGGTGTCTCCGAAGCATTGCTCGTATATCCTGCAATAGATGAATGAAGTATTGAAACTTCATCAGTCGAAGTGGTTGTCTCATGTGCTACGAATTCTCAATCATCGGCTGTCCCATTGAGCAATGTTTTGTTGTGTAGGATAAGGTTGGAAAATGGCACAAATTAGTCGTTACTGGTTAGAGATCCTAAGTGACATGGCTCGAAACCGTATGCAACGCTGCAGGTGTATCCATTCTTTGGCTTCGCCAAAGTCATAAACTTCTGAATTCCTTGGGACTGTTTTCCTCCTATCTTAAGTGGTTCTTCCTCTGGGGTATCCATCCCGAATGATATGTTCGATCATTAATCTTTTTGATTACTGCTAATACTTCTACTACCTCTTCTACTATGGGATTTGAATTGACAATTGTGTCTCAGTTCAAATGTGGCACGGCAACTTGAAATGATGTAGGCATGTACAAAGTTCTACGTTGTAAGTGACAGACTGGATTTTTAATTCATGAGGATGGAGATACCAGGATTCTAAGCAACATATTTTTGGTTAAGTAGTGTAGTGAGTTTTATCAGTGAATAGTAACTTTTATAATTACAAGCCTAATTAGTAAATCTCAATAAGATCTATAACTGCAAATTATAACTTTTTTCTAGTTACATGCGTTTTTATATGATTATTTATGTAATAGAATTAAAGTTTAATAATATTGTTATCAATGTTCATGTGTATTATTTATGGTAAATTACCAGTTATCATTTATATTTTAATTTTTGGTATTATCAATGTAACTTTATTTAAAATAAGAAACTCATTACTGACCATTTCAATCAACTCTTCCAGAATGTTGAATGATTTTGGGAAATCACATGTACTTGACAATTCTGTGATATTGAAATGCCGACTGATTGATTGAACTATATTTGCAGCTAATTCTAAATTCTCAGTTTTTATTGTAATCTATTGAATAAAATTGAGAAAAATTAAAATTTAAAGTTGTTGAATAAGAAGTGATTGTTTTATTTCATTTTAGGATAACATTTTGATGAACTGACATTATTAAGAGATATTGTGAACATTGCGAAACATTTTCACCTTTAAACAAATCCGAATTCACTGTGCTGTTTATGTATGTGATTTTGTCATTGTGGACTATTTTATTTATTATATGATTTTATTTGAACAGTTATAATGTTATATGTTATTTTTGTATTTATTTTAGAAACCAAACTCATATATTCTCAAGTAAACACACAACATTCTCAATTGTTCAAGCGAACAAATCGAATTTGTGAATTTAGACTAGTTGAGATAATGATGAGGATAATTCCTACTAGTAGACGTTTGTAATGAATATGTGAGCATTTTTCTTATGGTTTGTATACATATCAACTAGGTAACCGGTATCATAATAACTCATAACGGTGTATAATATTCAGAGGGTGAAACTAAATAGTTCGTATAATATTTTTGAATTTAACGGTTATTTTACTTCGGAAAATAATTCTTAAACTCGCCATTTTAAATTACATCTTAATAACATTGTGATATAATAGAAGATCGAGCAACCCGGTGAATTCATGACTTACTTCTCCTTTATTTGTCATAGTTATGTACAGTAAACGTTTTGAATTTTCTTGTTGGGCAATAAAATTATTCAAAGTTGCATGTAATTTATCATTTGTTGTCGAGATCCATGTGTTAGCTGGGCGCAACTCTTCAAAAACAACAGCCAGTGAAGATTGTTCATCGACTGTGATTTCGGATCCAGGAATAAAATTTTGATTCAACCAAATAGCAAGCTGTTTTAACAGATAAAACAAATATATGTCTTTTAATTGTTTCATGTCTAACGAATCATTAATATGCTACTTTTGTGCTTTAAAGAGAGGTAGTATAACATTATATGTGACTGTGAAAGCACTTTGATTAATGAAAAAGTCCATTACATGAAGGAACTGTTTATCTAAAGTTTCAGGACTAGTTATATTTTTATCACTCGAAAAATCTGAGTTTTGAAATTGACCTTCTAATGAGAATTACAAGTCCATATTAAAAGCACAAAGTTGACAGATTACGGGGCAGGTAAATTAAAGATAAACTGAATCTCCTGAAACCCGCTCTAAACTACATATTGGAGCTTTCAGTGCTCGAAACTTGTGTCAAATAGGACAACGGGCTGCATTACTTTGGTCTCTCAAATCCCGTGACATCTATATGTGCTGCTTCTCCGAAATGCACATGAAGCATGCGAGTCTGAACAATAATTTGACCTCAACTTGTTTAAGTAAAAAACCGTCATCTCCTCATAATCTCTGCCTACACTGCCACTGACTGCAGCTTAAGTGAAGTAAAAGAAGAACTTTTCTGAAAACTTTCTACCTTCAAAAAGTTAGGCTCTCTGTTGTAGTACTAGTTGCTGGTGACTTCAATGCTCAAGTATGTAGACGGAGCAAAAGTGAAAGACAACTGCGTCGGCCTTATGGTGTTGCGATTCACAGGACAAGTAATGGCAACAGTCGGTCGCAACTATGCCGAGATAACCAACTATTCTCAGAGAATACTAATGCACAAGGAAAAACATTGCGACCCCCGAATTCGTCCCAACTTGAACTGATATACGCATGTTCGAAGTTCTACGTTATAACTGACTGACTGAGTGACTAAAATGGTAGGGACCTTGTTTTCACTCAACTTTTCAGTCTGCATTCCGGTTACCTAAATGTTGATATCTCACACAAATCAATGGATGCATGTGTGTTTGGAGTCTGTTCGGATGTCTATACCAAAACAGGTTGTCTTCTTAGATGAGCGCCACCCGAACCTTTGATCCAGAGGTATAACCCATGAGGCAATGGAATAATTCTTATAGATGAGGTGACTAACAATAGTTTCATACGCCATTCTTTCTTTTAAGACCTTGGTGCTTATGTGATCTATTGACCTGGAACCAGGGTTTTATAACTCACCTCAGTGGATTCTTTATATTTGGTCTAAGCAGCGAACATTCACAGTTCGTACTTTCAATTCGGCAAAGAATATCCTTGCCGAGAGAAGTGTGTAGGACTTCTCTAATCATACACACGTAACCGTATGATGTTATTTCAAGGGGGGATTCAGGTTTTTTCCACTCTCAGCAGTACCAGGGCATTTATTCACATGTAAAATTAGTACACTAAAAAATCGATAGTTTCATCTCTGGACTACTGGACTCCTAGTTTAATATTTAAATAGTAAAATATACTAACTGGTAAGTGCTTTTAAAAAAACTTTAATAAAATTTTTCAAGTCTCATTCGACAACAAGACTATTTATTTCATCGTGAATACTGATTACTAACTTACACAACATGACTTTCTTCTTTAAAAATACCTTCAGCGAACAACACTATACATCTCAGATATGTATCTAAAATAAATCAAACAAATTTTCACCTATTAGAGAATGTTTTCCGCAACCTCAGTAAGAAATATCAATAAGAGTAGTATGCATTTTCACTTTATTTTATACCCCTGAATAGTAGTTATTCATAACTCTATAAAGAAAACGATTTTGATAATAAGAAATCACCACTATCACATTTTGAATAGCACCCTATGGAAAATATGGTCAAATATACCGTTAGTTAGATTAACATTTATGACAACGCCTAATTATCATAAATAATATCAATGTGACATGTGTAATTGAGATAAACAATAGAGAACAACTACTTAGCATTCTTTAAATCTTAATTATAAAAAATGTTATATCTATTTATTCAAATATATTTCAAATGATTACATAAACGAACATCTATTCAAAGAAATACTAGATTTTTATCAATAAAATAACTTTCATTTGTACCTGGCGTAATTCAATGCATTTAAATCAAAAATTCAAATGAGGCTAGGAGAACTGGTTTTCAGAAACATGTGTTGTTTTTTTTAAACTGAAATTTGTATTCTTTATACCATGATTAGTTCACCTTTTATCATCTCATATACTTGAATGAAACTACAAACAATGGCTTCGACAAACAAGCTGCGTTATAGCTGAAGTGGAAGCTCAATCGTGTTAGGAATAAGACAGTTAACAATAATGTTATGGAACAACACTTAAGCTCTTTTATCTTGCAGTGATCTAAATACATGGTGAACCCAGTTATATTTTCAGGTTTTGTGTTTCATTCCATACTGTATGTGGTTGTTTTGGTGTACTAATTAATGAAGAGCCTCGAACGTTTGGAAAGCAACTGTTTATCCCGCTGATGCATTTTGTTGAAGAGGAAAATATTTAAAATAAGTGATGTAAGCATCATTTGGGAAAACTTACTGTCATTAGTTGAAATTGTCAAATTAACGCATGGTTTATCAGGCGAAACTTCCAGTTTGGTTTGTAATTCCGTATTAGCCTGTAAAGAAAGCAGATACATCAGTTATTTATCTTTATAGATTTTCAAAAATTTTTCGATAAAAAACCTATTATTCTCTAGAAAAAAATCGGCTTAACAGTTTGCAATGCTGTTTGTCAATACAATGAATATATCCAAATACATTTCCTCAAGACCACGGCACTATTTCGCGGAAGGAAATGAATTTCAAATTTCACCAATAATAACACAGATCACAACATGACATCAAACTGAATTCGTTGCTTCGGAAACAATAACAATGATAAGTTTTTATCGAGAGATGTTATCTTGAAAAAAAATGGATTTTTTAATATGTTAAGTTAGAAAAATTCGGCAACTGTTACTTACTTAATCTATGTTAACTAAAAAAAACAATTACATTTTATTGAGTTGTCTAAAAAATTTTCCTTTCATTAAATTCATAAGCAGCACCAATGAATTAAATTGATCAAATTGTTAGTTAACTTAAGAAATATGACAGTATATGCTAAACAATGGAACAACAGAATGAACTTAGGATATCATGAAGTTTAACTGCTTGAAATATTCCTTACTCAACAGACTAGAGGTAATGTTGGCTAAATGAATGTGAGACATACGTTAGAAAGATTGAAGGTCTATTCCATAAAGAAAATTTAATCTGTACAAGATGATCATGTCGTTGTTGCTTTATTTCGTGTTGATCTTCAACATATGTTAGTGTCAAAATATGTCTCCATGTTAATTGGTCTATTTCACTACCTATAAATACGATATGCTCAGTAGTATGAATTAGATTAATGTTTCTTATTTACAAATCAAAAAAATTTACGTAATGCAGTAAACGAAGGAAACTCTATATGTTTTCATCGAATCTAGTTTAGTATGAGTACAATCCTAGTTAATACTAATTGTCCATTACATCACCTAGTTTTTTTTCGCCAACCGACGTAAATTTTGAGAAAATTCAAATCAAAGTTACGCATTTGAAATGCTATTAACCTCATAATTCTGAATACTGATTTGCATTGTGTTTACATCTCTGTGCACCTTATGAAAATGAAGACACATTCTGAGTACTTACTGAGCTGTTTAATTTCCATATATCATTCTTCTCTGTATCAAATATTTAAGTCGACTGAAAAGATTAACACCACAAAACACTGTCTCATTTTTTTTCTATACATTTCAAATTAATGCCAATTGACAGATTAGAAGAGGTAAGCTTTACAGTTGACTTTTCTTTGAAATCTTATCAGGCAGTATCAACATCCGAAAACCGCACTAAATCTTTTCTATGAGTGATAACAATAAATAATGTTAGTAACTGCTGTAAATTTATTTCAGAAATTCTTTGCTACTTAATATCTCTGTCTGGAGTTTACTTGTATAATATAATTCTAACAATTCTGACTTGTTTACAATCCCTAAAACTTGTATTTACATACTTCATTGAGTATGTACAAAGTGAATGTTAAATCATGACTTTTGCGTATCTACAATCTCACTTGTATACAGCAAATGTTTGAAGTTCAAGTCTGAATTAATTGTAACTGTAAATTCGAATTATAACACAGAAAGAAAGGGACACATATACAACATATACACTTACTTTAATGATATTAACATTTGCTTGACGAATTCCACTCTTATCCCACTGTAATAAATTATTGTTTTCATGGATACTTTGAATTTCTAATAATAAATTCTGTTATTGTTTTTTTGCAAACAATTAAAAAAAATCAAATAATTATGTCAATTAATGAAAAACATTTATTCGAATGATGATAGCAAAAAGCTTCATTTATCATTAATCCAACATATGATTATTTTGATGCCAAAGTCTCATTACATTAATTACATCAGTAACAATGAAATTAGTGCATAAACTAGTATAATTACCTGTTCATAATCTGTATCTAATTCACATTTCTAATAATCTGTAAAATCATCAGGTCAATATACATTTTAAGTATGATCAGTAAACTAGTGTGCATGGATGGAGTTAATCTTAAATTATATTTAAAAACTGTTAATATGTGTTAGCGAATTTTATTCATGTCGTTACACAGTCGGAACTGAAGCTCGGTTACAATAAATTTACATTTTGATAATAAAAAGTGTTGTGGTTGTCATTGTAACAAGTAAACTTCTTAGTGGTAACATTGCCAAGGTGAAAAATTAAAACTGTTAAACGAAATTAAGTATAACAATAAAGTATAATCACTTTTGAACAGTCGTTTAACTTTCAACTGATTGGTATGGTAACACAAAAAGCCTCAAACGAGACATCTTAACTTTCTAGTACGTATAAACTTGAATAGGTACTGTTCTGAATACCTTATGCACTATAAAATCTTTAGTAATTAGTTTAGTCGATCCTTAGAAAAGTGTAACAGAGACTAGGATATTTCGTGAAGAACTATTCTAATATTTAAGCGTTTTGTTCAGAGAGATAACACACAGAATCAACAATTCGACTTTTATAAACGCAGTTACCAAACCAATATCTTGAACAGAAAAATTGAGCTGGATATCTCAGCACCCTAGAGTTGGTATTTTTCTGCGAAACTCTAAACCGGTACTGTCCACCTCAAATGCCATTACGATATTCACCAAGCTACCTAGCCCAGATAGCCATTTACTTGTGCGACAGAGTGGATTCTAATTCATCAACGCTGCACTGAACATATATACAGCTGATAAGTCTCAAACGGGACGAAATGTGCATCCTGGATTCCATTTGCTAACCATCATCCAAAATTGCTTGTAACTTAGAGGCAATATCTAGGCAACCGGTATAAGATGTCTATATTCCAAAAAGGAATGATTAGGTGCTAAAGAAAACTTAATTAAATAATCAAAACACTAAAAGCTTTGACTGTTTATCTGAATTGAAAAACAAACAGTTTACCAAACACATCATACTATTCAACATTATAAAATGGCATTTAATAAAAATTATATTATACTCAGTAGTAACTTTTCATATTCACCTGTCTTTTAGTGATTAAATGACGTAAAGTATCTTCCGATGGCTTTGAATTCAAATGATTCTTTGATTGAAGCATAGCATAACAACGTACTAAAATATGCAGAAGGAGAATAATACATCAAAACATTCATACAAAGAAAAGTATCGATAATTGAAATTTACAAAGAATTTTTAGATTTATTGTAATAATTGATATGCCTTTTCAGCAATAAGATACAATAAGCTAATATAAGATCTGAATTAAAAAAACAAAATATTACCTCAATGGTGTTTTTTAAGATACATAGTTTTATCATGCTTAACTGAGAAGGTTAACTCGGAGTATGAAAGTTCATTTACCGATGAAAACTGAGTCCCCAATTTTTCACTGAATTACAAGTGCGTTATGTTTTCGAATTAGATTGAAATAGTATTTAAAGTCACATGATACAGATGTATTTCTCAATCTAAATAAATTAGTTTATAACAAAAACTCCAAATTCATAAGTCAAGAATATGTTAACAGTGAGAGAAAGTAGAATAAAACTATAAACTTACTGTCACCTTCGACTGTACACACAAGTAATATGTTGGAAAAACCATAGTAATCACCCTAAAATACGTCAAACGAAAAATAACAAATTTACAATACTTTTAAATTTGTCTAACAATTAGAAACTAGGCGCTTATAATATATCGGCTACTAACTTCGTAGTTCATCTAGTTATCAGCTATTATCATGAATCCAATAAACGCTAGGAAGTAAATTACAAGCTTTCTATAATAAGGGAACGCTGCTGGATCATCGCAACCAATGAACAAATTAAATCGGTCCCTAAGAAACCATTTAGACGATTTTGTCAAAAAGCCATGAAGTCTTTAACAGATGACCAACCTACTTCGAACTACAGTTAATTCTCTGAGACAGGGGAAAATTATTTCGAGTCAACATATGTGAAACAAGAACGGTCGACTGATAAAAGAAATGGATACTTATTCGTTTGTTTCAACTCTAAAGCCGTATATATTGAGGGGTCATTCTTGCACGCATTTAGTTGATTTGAGGTACAAAGCTGTTGTCCGTTAAGGTTTCACAATGGCATCAGAATTAGTTTCAAAGGCGCAAAGAAAGATAAAGCAGAATGTTCATGCACCTGGGAGCAAGATAAGATAATTAAAGGTCTCGCAACTCGTAGCTGCAGCTGGGTATTTTGTCTTCCAAAAGCCTGCCTTCTGTAACATGTATATGATCAGAGTTCACCTATTTTTCATTGTAATTCATTAGTAAAATTATTATTGATCGGTAATATGGCTATGCCGGATAATAAAATTTTATACGAAATAATATAAAAGAATCACTTACCACTGTTATTCCAGCTATACAATCATCCAGTTGAATTTTGAATACAACTACCCCATTTGAACGCAAACGAGCATCTACCTAAAAGTACATAAAATATGGATATAAAACCTCAGAACTGTTAATAAACTAGTCATCGAAAGATAATTTTTTTGCTACCTGGTCATCGATTAGAATTTAACCAAACTTCGAAAATACCACAAATTTAGACGATTAGTGTCAAATACTTTCTCATGCTTGTCTAGGTTCTTTGAAAACTTAATAGAATCGCTACCCTGCTGTAAATACGTAAAGCTAACGAGAAATGTTACAGTTCAGTCTCGTTAAGTCACATGTTCGAAAAGTTCATCACTGAGTGCCATTAGTTACATGTGACTAACACGTACCATTCACAGTGATTTAGGTCAGAGTTAGTATTTTAAAGCAATACAGAATAATTTGGTAACTGTACGCCTATTGTCTACAACTTCGATATTCATCTAATTTTGACAGCGTAGATTGTACACATGTATTTGGCTGGACAGAATCAAGTACAAAATTAAAACATTTCAATGTATGAAGCTTTTAGAAATGTAACTTCAATTGCTTAAAAAGTAAAATAGTACCCTTTAGAATTAGATATAGATTGTTTACCTCATATTCAAGAAGTTAATCAATTATAAAATTATGAATTATATTTGGTGATGAATTTCAATAAATTAGGAAGTGTATGTTCATTTCTACTGCTAAACATTACCAAGTTTGATGATGAAAACTAGTTTAGGAAAAACATAATTAACATGAACATATTCATCTGTTGTAATGTTAACATACAGTGATGATTGTACAAAAGACTTACTTTGCCATTATTCCAACCACAAATTAGCTCTGCATATCCATCCTGGTTTATGTCATGACTAATAAAGCAGATAGGTTTGTTTTTCGACTTGAATAAATTAAGTAAAATATGTTGATGAAATTAAAATGATAGGTCTAATTCATAAACTACTGTTTAATTTAAAGTAGTAAAAGATATAAAACAGATTTATTATGAGCATATTTACGTCTATTACAGAAATAACATATTAAATTCATTATGCTAACAATATTGTGAATCCATCTTGTCATTGCTCTTCCCACATCTCAGTCATTTGAATATGAAGTATTTAGTGACACATAGTTGAAGAATTTACTTTCGATTCGAATTGGAGAAACCATTTCTAGGAAAATACCGTAGATTTTAATTATCCTTAAAACATTCAATTAATAACTGATGATAACAGATATGTTAATTGAAGAGCTCTTCAAAATGCACCACAGTGTTTTATTTACTACATGTTACTACTCAAATTTAAACTATATGAATTAAAAATACGATTTTCAATACCGAGTTTTCCATTGTCTTTGCAGCAAATTTAAGTTTAGACAGAACCTTGTTTGAAATGGAAAAATTCAATTTCATTAACAACAGGATAACTTATACACATCACAAAAAACAAAGCGGAATGGTACATGGTTAGACATAAACTTATGAGTATTTTATGCAATACTTCAAAGCCAAAAAATTAACTAACTGATCACTTGAGTTATCAGAAGAATTTAGAGAAAAGGTAGGTTATTAAGTCACTTCAAATTCTTGAAATACTCATGTGAGATATATCTTAACTACAATATTTGATAAAAGATTTTCTCATAGAATGCTCAGACCACTTACTTTAATACGCCATATACGATTCACTTTATTGTATACACCAATTGTACCATTTCTCAAACCATAACCAAAATATTCACCACCAAGTGAAGTAAGTTTTATTACTGCCTGTTTAAAATATAATTATAGAATAAAGATCAGTTAGTTATTTTTAACTAATAAAGCTGACCACATAAACAATGTATAGTATTTTGGTAACTTAGCGGACATCATTATACCCCTAGGCTAGAAAATATCGTATTAATGGTTATTTTGATGTATTAAACTTTAATTATGATCTTCAATCAGGTTTCAAACTAGTTTCATTGGTATATTCATGTATGATAAATGATAAAATTACAGATTGCAAAACAACTTGGACATAAAACTTCTCAATTAAATTCGGATTAGTTATATTGTTTCGTATCTCAAAAATTAGGTAGATGCTAATTGAAACAGATCCATTTACCCACTTACTTACTTACTTGTCTACTTACGACCGTTACCCCAATGGAGCATAAGCCGACGACAAGTAATCCCCAACCTACTATGTTCTGGGTCTTCTTTTCCAGTCCTGTCCAATTTATACTCATTTCTTCCAATGTCTGTCTCCATTTCTAGGCGTAAGGTGTTCCTTCGCCTTACCCTTTTCCTTGAGCTTGAAGAGACCAAGTGAGTGCTTGTCTTGTGATGTAGTTGGGTGCTTTCCGCAGTGGGTGTCTTATCCAATCCCAACGCTTCTTCCTGATTTCTTCCTCCACTGGAATCTAGTTTGTTCTCTCCCACAGTAGGTTGTTGCTGATAGTGTCTGGCCAGCGAATCCGAAGTAGTTTGCGTAGACAACTGTTAATGAATACTTGTATCCCCTTGATGATGGCTTTGGTAGTTTTCCAAGTTTCCGCCCCATACAGTGGAACTGTTTTGACATTCGTTTCAAAATTCTGACTTAGGTGTTTGTCAGCAGTTGTTTTGAGTTCCAAATGTTGCTGAATTTTAGAAATTCAGTCCTGGCTTTGCCGATCTGCTCCCTCACATCTGCATCAGATCCACCTTGCTCGTCAATGATGTTGCCCAGATATGTAAAGATTTTAACGTCCTCCTAGGCATCTTCATCAAGAGTGGTTTGGTTGGCGCATGTTGTGTTGTATTGCAGAATCTTGCTTTCTTCTCTATGTATGTTGAGACCTGCTGCTGCTAAGGCTGCTGATACACTGGGCGTCTTCTCTTGCATATGTTGATGCGTGTGTGATAGAAGATTCAGATCATCTGCGAAGTGCAGATCGTCCAGCTGCATCCTGGCTGTCCATTAGGTACCTTACTTCTCTCCAGATGTTTACGTCCTCATAATTTAGTCCATCACCACGAGAAAGGGTGAGCGTAAGCAACCTTGACCGACACCAATCTTCACTTTGAACGAGTCTGTCGTCTGTCCTCCGTGCACAATTTTGCAGTTTAATGCATCATTACAATTTCGTGTGGTGTTGACTATCTTCACATTGTCGAAGAACCAACCGCAGTGTTGTCCTCTCCACACTATCAAATGTTTACTTGTAGTCAATAAAGTTGATGTGCAGTGGTAAGTTCCATTCAACTGATTGTTCCACAGTGATGCACGATGTTGCAATTTGATCAATACACGATCGATCCTTACGAAATCCGGCCTGTTGACCTCGAAGTTGGGTGTCTACGAAGTCATTCATTGGATTTAATAACACCGCGTTGAAAATTGACTGGTATTGAGAGAAGAGTGATGCCTCTGTAGTTCTCACTTATTTTGAGCTAAATGTCCCATTCCCTAATGTGTAAAAATGTTGAAGGATCAAGGAAAATCGAATGAGGTTGAAAATATAAATGACTTTTAAGTCAACTAAGTAGTTGCCTGAAAATTTAAGGAAACATTCATTCTTCGATATGTTGCTAATAGAAATCATAATAGAGCAATTTTATCAAAAAAAGTTGACAGGTATACAAACTGTTTCAAAGCATTTTAAACTAGTTAAGTCTAGTCACTTATTTTACATAGAAATCATATTAAGAAAAGCAAAATTTTATACTTATAAAGATAAACAACTACTAACATCTGTTTCGGATATTTCATGTATCATTAATTCATTACGGAATATACGTATAGTATAATCTTCCGAACCAACAACAATATCATTGAATGATTCTTCATGATTTTCATAAGATAAACAAGTAATTGCAGAGATTGTATCACTAGTTACTGTCCAAAATAATTCTATCGCTGAATAATTCAATGCAATCAATGAACAATGGCCACCAACAAATATAATATCAGTATTTTTGTATTGTTTATTTTGTTCATCAAAATGTTTGTATAATATCGTGTTTACACCATTATTCTTTAACTAAGTAGTAAAATTTCAATTATTTCATAAAAAATGAAATTGATGGCTACTTCTTTCCAAAATATATCCACATTATTGACTGGATCATAGATTAGAATACCATATTTTGATCCAATTATTAATAGATCATTTTGATTGGAAATACGTTCAAAATTGCCTGTTTGAATTGCACATATTGAATGAATATTACTGCATCTAATAAAATCTACAAGATGTATTGATAAATTGTTTGTTTAAAATGTTATACTCATACTTACCTTGTGATAAGATCTTGGTGAATCCTTCAGTGGAATGATAAAATTTTGGATTGTAAATGTACACCTAAGGAAATGTATTTAAAACATATGGTATATCTTTTAAAATTCAAATCAATAATTATGTAATCATTGTCACCTCGTTTCATTAATATATCTGATAGTTAAATTTCACTTCTGTATGTAACACCTATAGAACATTACCGTTATCTATAATCAATGGCTACGGTAAAGAATATCTCCTGAGTTTTAATGAACAACTTGAAAACTTCTTAGTTCACTGTCATTTGGCATGATATATACTTACTCACAAGAATGCGGCTACAATTTTGTCCTGAGTACATCTAGATCTTTTAGCAAAAAACTCTAAGAAATGTAACATAACAAACTGAACGGAAGTTCACGCAAATCCTTAAGAAGTCGAAAGATAAATCAGTTATCAATATTGGGCTTTTCGACTATCTCAAAACATCTGTTACTGTCGTAGGACTGTAGGGCCTTTAAAAAGGACATAAGAACAATGTAGTCTTCAATATTTTGTGCAGATTTAATAATTAGTTATACAGAAAAGCTGACAGCATCTTTATGACTTCACAGTTCAATCTTTTTCATCGAGTGCTGGGCGAATATGCTTGGAAGATACCATAGATGAGGCACCGTCCAATCTCTGACTGACATTCTTCACAAACGGCTTTCCATCCAAGTCTGTTTACTGAAACATGAAACCTAAGTTACATCCTGTTTGTCCTTGTACATATACTCTTAAGAAAACTCATAATGAACATTGATTTCAGAGGAAAGACTGTTGCAGAAATTTTTAGGAATCATCTAATCAAATCCTTGAAGATCACTTTTTATGCTGCTAAGTTTTGCACTGTTCTTCCCAACTGCCACATCATTCGTGGATTTATCAAGAACAGCAATGTACATTTACAAGTTCGCTTGCTCCTGTAGAATAGATTACATATGCCAAACACAGCAAGCTTTTTCCAAACATATCTTCAGATATCATTTTGAGATGCTTTCCAAAATGCTTTCAGCATCATAATTTCTGGTGAACTCTGGTCACATTACACCATTTGATAAGTCTAATAAGTCCATCCATACAGTCAAAAGACTTGATTCAAGAGGAGCAAAAATAACTAAATTATGAACTAAAGAGGTGTTCTCGAACAATTTCGTCAAACCTGAACTCTGTATACAAAAAAGAAACATGTTAGCCATCATCATCTCCCTATGGCCCTATCACTTAATTTTCATAAATGGTAATTTTATTTCATCATATCTTCTGAGTGTTTCTAATTTTTTTTAATTTTAGTTGTTAGTTATCATAACCTTCATGTACCTCATTATATTCTTACTTTTCTGAAACTCGTCATGAAGATAATTTCCCATCACTTCATTATCTCTTCAATCCTTCATTATTAAGCAATTTTCTTCGACACGTCATACTGGGCAATCATCTTCCTTGATTTTCAACAAACCATTCAACTTGTAAATTCGATATAAACACAATTTCACATTTTGAGTAATATTGCTGAAAAGAAAATGATTTTTCCACTAAATTGTTTTGAATATGTAGTAAATCCACTTTTATAAAGAGAACCGTTCTAGAGAATAATGATTCAGGACACAAGGGGTCGAGTAGCATAATTGTTTATCTATACAATCATTCTATTTTGCGAACTACGTGTACATTTAGTCAAAAATGATCAACTGTGTCATTTTAATTCATTGATTTGCCTGCTAGTTTCAACCTTCAAAATGGACTCAAATTATAGGCGAAAAAGCAGGGTTATATCTTATTATTTCGAATTATTATCACATTAAGGAACAATGATTAAAAATTTAAAAAAATTGTTAAAGCAATTACCTTATCTGAGGATGTAACAAACGCAAGTGCATAGTGAACGCTAGTTAATCTCCCAAAACTGACAAGTCCGGGAGAGATTTTGAATGATATCTTGTCGCAAAAAACATTCTCAATATTCATTAAAAAGCAATTTCCCTAAACAGTCCTATTTAACGAGGAAAAATAACGGTTAGATTAGTTTATTTTAAACATTGAACAAGTGTGAGTTTTTTAAAAGATGCGAATTACAGAAACGTTGAAATAAGAGTTTGGCAGAACAGGCAGATCAATGAAGTATGCCTTCGATGAATCTTTCAGGATGAAGTTTTGATTTTGTTGGAGTATTTGGAAAACCAGTCAGTGTACAAGACTAATACACAGACTTGTTGATGAGTCCTCAGCAATTTGACTTTGCGAAAATTTGTGCAGAGAACCTTGAACAAACTTCTACTTTCAAGGATAAGTAAAAAAGATATTGTTGGATTCAAAACATAACTGTTTATTGTGAAAAATATGCCATTTAGTGATAATCATGACGATAATTTACTAGAGTTAGATGTATATATTATTTGTTCGTCGAGTTTACTGTTTCATTACTGAAACAGCAATTTTAGCACACTATCAAAAACTATAGTGTGGAGTAGTAATTTATGATTTGAAACACTCCTTTTTCAATAACAGGCCACATATCCTAAATCCATTTCGATTGTTTATGTCTTAGTAATCGAGCACCATATATAGCACTCATAAATAGAATGTGCCCGACAATCGAAAACATAAACGTGAACCTGATAAATGGGCTACACTAGCATAAAAGCTTATCTGTTGAACCTTTTGCTCATGGATACTACTGAGGCTCGATTTCTATTGTTATAAATATTTTAGTTATTTAAACGTTAAATAATGGGTCCCTCTAAGTTGTGAGCTTGTCCATTCTGGGTATTATAGTAAGGTTTTCTATGTAAATTTCAACAGCTGATGGTGATAAAAACCGGACATTACTATTCAAAACAGATAGAAACATACTGAAAAGCTTTTATTTATTCAACTTTATTAGACAACAAGTTTCTTCATTTTGGTATTCACACTATGGTAAGTAAAGTGAATACCAGTTAATTAATCATCATTCATCATCAATGTAGAGCCTAGTCTATGTTTAGGCTGGTCTTGTACGTCATGCCGCATTACCACGACAGCGTTGACATAATTATGATACGGATTGCAATGTATTGTGTTATACCTCAGGGTAAATGAAAAACAGAGCCGGAAAATGGAACTCATAAAGTGATTCAGTGACTTAAAACAATTAGTCCCTTTTATAAATTTTGACAGAACAGTGAGAAGACGTAATTGATCTGAAAAATGTGATGTATTTGAGCTACACATTTTGAAAAATCTGGTCACACATACTTAACTGTCAAGAAATTTTATATGAAGATGAATAAAAGGTCAATTAAATAAAAGTTCAAACAGACATAAGCTGATAATTGTAGAAAATTAAAATTAAAAATTACCAAGGTAAATTCAAGGTTATGACAAATTGTTTTAATTTTCTAATTTTCTAAGAGCCAAGGCCTTCATAAACCTCAAAATTCTTCCTTCAACATTTCTATATAATGTTTTGAAGGCTGTCTTGATGTCGATCTTATACGCTGTCTGAATTATGTGATTAACAGCAGCAACTCATAAGACATTATACTAAGAGTACGTCGACTGAGTTAGTCATCGGAATATTTACTTTCAAATAATAGTACGTGCCTTGTCAAGTAGTGATGATTTCATTGATTCATATTAGGTGCTTCCTCATGGCGGTTTTAAGATTTATCGTCTTCACAATTACCATCATTTTATTCATGACTTAATAGCATTTATTAAAATAATGGGGAGAAATATGAATAAAGAAGTACCAAAACATATATCGGAAGTGAACTTGATGCATGCAAAAACTGTGTAACATTTGACTTTATTTTACTGCGTTTGGCATAGGATTTTTGTGGCTGGTTCTAACAGACCTTAGTTTCATTGCATCAGATTTATTTGGATTCAAACAGGAGAAAAAACATCAGATGAGATACTTAACCTATAACTAGTAGGATAACATTATAAAAATCTGTAACCCCTAGAAACAGACTGAGGATTTCACAGACATTCAGAGCTATGCGGTAGTTTTGTCCGCAACAACATTCAGCTGCAGAATACCCAAATCTAATGCAAACCAGAAGTCAATAATTAGGAGAATCAAAGGCATATAGGATGAAGTTCGTGATGCCGAGGCTTGAGTGAACTAAACCTGTTGTTATTGAGATGAGATGAGGTGCCCCTTGTAACCGACAGTGATCCTGTGTGGATGTAAAACCAAGCTCCTACTGGTTGGGTGCGGGCAGCGAGATTGTTGAGTTTATTATCACTGTCGAAGATTACTGAATAGAAGCAGGAACGACATCATGGAGACATAAAATTGACATAACACACTACGACTAAGATCAGGCAAGTAACAACCACACTTGAAGGTTCAACTTTTTTAGCTGGCTTGTAGACAGTCATTTGATCAATCCTAACAAACATTCATATGTATATCTTACAGAAGACTAGCAGACAGGCCCATTCGTGAATTTCGTTTCGTTGTTTTGAGACCGCCAAAACACGGAAATTCGTTTAAAAATAGCACAAACTGTCAAATTTGGCGAAAAGTTGATGCATTTCAGAAGGTTGGCCAAGTTCTGAAAATTTCCAAAAGCCAATAATTAGCCACAGGATTTCTACGATATTTCGGAAATTCTCGAAATTTCTACTACTATTGAGGAAGCAAGCCAATCGCAAAACAATCTCCGCGAAACCGTCTGCAAACTCACTAGATTTCCTACATGTTAAAGTTAAATGGGATGAAAGCCCATTAGCAGTCCTGAATTAGCTTATTTTTCCAAGAGCGGAGAAGGTTTCAAGGATAAACTTCGAAAACAGTTTAGCTGGATAATTGACGCTCTGGATTTTCACTGGTATATCGTAAAACACCATAATTTAAGCAGCTCTTTGCATCAAAAAAGCGACACAGTTGGCAAAAAACTTTACCGTTGCTGAAGATTGATCTATAAGTAAAAGTATTAGGTTTCGAAAGGCCCTCATGACGACACAAACCTTTCAACTCATTATCATAAATACATGAAAAAAACGTTTATATGAACAATAAACTTATTTAACTGTTTCCTTAGTGCTTTTATGGAGTGAGCGTAAAATTAAGCTACTCTATGCCAAGCACTACCTTTCGTTTGCCACTGCAACCTAATACCGCTATGGTGACAAAGGTCATTTCAATATCCAATTTTTTTTCACGAGCTAATGTAAACCAATCTGATTTCTTGGCGCTCGATTCTTGTTCTTTCGGTACGGTTCTAGGTGTTCCGTAATAGCAAGAATTCATTTCTTCATTTAACCTTAAACTGCTTTATTAGTAGAGGGAAACTGAGTAATACTCGACACCCTAAAAAATTCATCTTAGAGGCCAAGTGAGTCATCGTGTACCACTGCTTATTTATTTATTTCTCAGAAACAAATTAAAATCACGAAAATCAAACAGTAGTATATTCGCACCAAGATGAAAGAAGAACAAGGCTGGTCATTTTTTTACGACGCGAATGGTAGTCAAATAAACAAGCTGGAACAAAATTTTCAAAAATTTCTTACATAAAGGAAGAGCCTAGCCCTAGTGACGTGGTGAACATATATCGTAATATTATCACTTTCAGCACGATTAGCGACGCGGAGTCTATCTTTGCTTAAAATAGGTGTGTAACCACGTATTCAGTATTGAACATTCTGGTATTAAGAAACTTCCTTTTATAACCCAACCATAAATCGGACAGGTTGTGAAGTTTCCTAAAATGATGTATATTTATATGTCGTTTGACAAGCATGAATAGGAGAAAAGTTAATTCCGTAAATCTTTTGCAAATATTCAACCTTGCAACTAGTTAATACGTGTAGTAGTGAAAGTGGTCGTACATTACTGTTTGCATCGACGTGAAGATATTTCGAAGACCAAGTATTTGGTATTGTACTGCAAGAACTAGAGCGAGCACATGCTTCGAGACTGATGTGGCTTCGTTTACCTTCCTCCATTTACAGGAAAAAGTCCGGTTTCGGAAACCAGATTGGGATATTTAACCACTCGTGAAGAAATAAAAGTTATCTCCCTTCAATAGCGAACAATCTGAGTAGAAATTCCGACAAACGGAACCATTAAAGTTAGAACCACAGTGCGGTAGGTCCAGCTGTCTCCATTAACTACTCTGTTTCTAGTTGCTTCAGCAGCACACACACAATATTCACTCATAAACACAGTACTTGTGGGCAAGTTACTGGATCCACGCGAAGTTGTTTACTAGGACGGCTAAAGGTTTAGTTGCAATTTTGGTGGACTTCAAGGTTCTATTCCTTTGTAGTTCTATCTATAAATTACTGAATTCCCCCCTATAAACTCCTATTTCGTGTATTTTCCCACTTGAATTAGCTGGTTACTCATCTCTAAATCTCTAAGGTATCATGGTAAGCAATAAGGTTGTAACTGCAAATGACAACTAGGGAAACCTGTAGTTGTATGAATTTCGGGGCCATCACTCTGACGAAAAGCTCAGTATCGAGAAACGGGATTGTGAAAAAACTCAGAAAGTCACTCGAGAGAATTCTTCGCAGTAATATTCATTATTCGGATCACCCAACCCAAACAACTTCACTCGGTCACCAACATAGACTCGCCTCAGATTCCTACTACTAAAAAGATCAGTTGGCAGAACCAGAATAAAGGAAAAAGGCGTTCTAAGGTTCAGTCGACAAATTCTATCGTCCAGAATTATCAGAAGGATGATTTTGTCAATTACTCAATTCCAGTCAAAACCAGTGACTCTGCTTTTTAACGCGATATTTGTAGTACATGTGTCCATTGTCAGGGCGAAACTACAGTACACACAGTACCATGGGTTCATACTGAGTCACCCCTATGTGTGGTTCTGGTATATCTATCCGAAGAGCAGAGTAAATGAGGCATTACCGAATCCACAGGCCTTTCGGACATCATCACACACCTGGAAAAGCACTGACAAAAACAGCAGTGAGCGCTACGTAATGAATCAGTTTGTACTAACTTGTGAGATAGTTTTAAATATATTAAAATTTCTATAACACTCATAACTTGGAAACGCATTCAAGGAATGAAAAACAGACGCAATTATTCAATCGATCGACCTACACTCGCTCGCGTAAAAGATATTGGCTATTGTATAAAAAGTTAATAGCGCTAAGATTGGGTATTGCGGTACTTTGTGACTCTAACGATCTGTAACTCTATTTATGAGTACTTTCATGCATGAAGCTAGTCACAAAGTGATATTTATTTCTTAAAAATCTAAATCATACTACGAAGAGGTCAGTTTTAACGGTGTTATTATTACAACAGTTTTTTCATTTCTATATAATTTGATTTCAAATAATGGTCATTTCAAGTTATATTGAAAATAATTTTTATCAGTGCAATAGTTTACAGAGATGATGAGCAGCTTTTCGCTGTATTTTCAGGCGCAAGCTGTTCGACAGTTTCTGTGTGTACTCACTGCTTTGAAATTTTTCGAATATAATGCTCGCAAGTAATCTGATTTATTAAAGTATTTTTCTTTGATAAGTTTGGTGACCTGGATTTAGTAATCGTAGTAATGTTTTTATCTCGTCCTAATAACGATTTTCGTCTGAATTTTTTATCGGTAGTGTATTCGCATGGTCCGATACTTATAAGTGATCCGGATATTCAAATCCCTGCCTTAAATAAAGTAATCAAAAATCTTGATATGAGTTCAAATATTTCATTTGGCACGACCAACAGTTCTAACTCCCAATGCATTTACTTCGAAAACATCCAGTTTTTTTCTCCAAAGGTCAGTATGTCGTCATGGAATAAAACCGAAGTGAACAAATATTTTCATGTTATTGAAAATTACTCGGCAGACTATTTTACTGTCGTTAATTTATTAATCCCACCCCACAGAAATGGAATGCTGTGGTAAGCCTGATTTTCTTGGCTTTTAATCTCTGGTTCACTATTTGGATAGTTTATTTGTCACTTTTTATAGTGTGTATCGTACAGTTTACGCAATATTACTATATTGATGTATTTCATTGTCAAACCTGTTGTTTCTGTTGGCGCGTCTTTGATGTTTACTTATTACTCCAACCCTTAGTTAACCATTATATTTCCACTTAAGTATTTTGTTTTATGCTTGTGTCGTAATTTCTCTTTCTTTTCTAGCATTAAAGATTCAAATACGAACAAACAACTAATTTGTTTCCCACTTAATGAGGTCAAAAACTTATCGAAGGGATCCGACCCTGCTACAGCAAATTACATTTTATTGACTCATAGTACTTCATCATCAAGCAACGAAGCGATAGATCCTTCTTCAGAAGAGCCGCTAAACATATATCTGACACATATATTACGTTGTCCGACATATCACTGGGTAACTCAATATAAACGTTTTTGTTGTCTTTTTAACTCACTTTAAAATGTAAATGTTCAAGCGCAACCTATCTGTAACTAAACTACTTACGATAATTCTGGTGTGTAGTGAATATAATGAATAAATTGGTAGTAAACAGTTATGTCTAAATTAAAACTGTCATTACTCGACTTTCTTCGTTTGAGTTATTTCAATAGTTTTTGCTTGTAATGGCAAAACATCTTCCTTTTGGTCGTATCAGGAACTTCAATAACCAGAGGTGGATTTCTTCCGAATATTTAACTGGTTGTCAGCTCAAATACCTTGTTTCACATTCAACCAATTATTTTAATACATCTCGAGTAAATTTTATCGCTCTATCTATTAGCTAGAATATATGAAAACTAACCATTTTTCGGATACACGTTTGTATATCAAATTTTTTTAATATATCTAAACTTGATAGAATCTAAAATGTTTCCGGTAGCCATAGTCGACGGACTCGGTTGTCGGTCGATACCAGTTTCGAACCCCGATTCCATTTAATGTGGTCAGACAAGTAGTATCAGTATCCTTATAAGCAATGTGACAGCCGATTATATCAACTCGTAATTTGCAACTGAGTTACACCATTATTATAATAAGTCATGTCAGCTACAACTTAGAACTTCGAAAGTACGTACATTATTTCGAATTGCCATACAACATTAGCACAGAGACGCAATCGTCATTTCAAATCCCATAGTAGAGGTAGCAAAAGTATAAGCAGTAATGAAGAAGATTAGGGTTCGAAGATATTATTTAAAATGTATAATCTAGTGAAATAAAATTAGAAAGAGAAAGATAAAGGTGACAAGGAGTTCAGAAGATTATAATTTCGGAGAACACAAAGAATGAATGCACCTGCACCATCGCAAACAATTTTCAGCCATGTCGTTCATAGTCTCTAACTATCGGACGCCAACCATGTAGTCTTTACCTAATAACATGACTTAGTTCACTTGTCAGGGACGAGTCAGTTGGTGGTTGGGCATATGTAACACATGTCCCAACCAACTCGACTGATGGAGTTTCATCTATTGCTACGTCATCCCTGCCTAGTACTCGTTTCTTAACAACAGCATAGCCTATTCCGCGGTTCAGGAAAAACGAGCAATGCATCAAAAACACCTACGATCGAATACCAATGACTTGTGAATATTCCCTACTTTTGCTGGCCAGTAGGTTAGTGCGAACTGATACGCTTTATAATAATAATCGTTCTTGTTGTTATTAAAGTACGAGTTACACTTGTTTTCTTCCAATGTTGAAATATATGACCTTTTGAGAAATCTAGTCAGCACATTTATGCTATGTGAAGTAGATTTGCAGAACAATGGAAATAGGAATTGGGGGTTCTGTTTCTGATCAGATGCTAAGTAGTTCATTTTGTCTACACTTAACAGGCAACATGGAAAGATGAAAACGTTGTTCTGTGATGAAGCGATGAATCATTTACCTTGTGCTTAGTTTAGTTCGTACTCATCAAAAGTAATGAGACGTGTTCAGATCTACAATTCAAATCATGATTTTTGTATAATGTAAATATAGTTCTAAAAGTTTTATTATATCCAATACTTTTAAAAAATATGATGGCACTACTTTAGTCTCTATTTTAATTACCATTCGAATTTTCGTTTAGACATTGAGGATAATTGATGTCATCCGTAGAATTATTACTGAAGAAAGCGAATCTAGTACTATTAGATCAAGTGTATGGGAGCCACAAAGTATTACGTAAGTCCTTATCCTTAAAATTTTGAAAAACCTATACGACACCGCGAATGATATAGTTCTTTACTAAAGATATAAGATATAATTCACTGGGTTAACAATGATCTCAGATAGAATTGCATTTATTGATGTTCTCATATTCAAACATTGTATTGGGACTTTTAAGACGTTGAATTCAATTGCTCTACTGATCATCAAGATTTCTAACTCATTTACTGTGTGAAATATAAATCATTGGTATTTAGGGTTCTGTTAGATGCCCATTCGAAACAATTTTAGGCTATAAATGACAAGAATCTCATCTCGTTGTTCAAAAGGAACTGATAAACTATCTCAGCTTCAGTCTGTTGAAGTAAAAAATGGAGAAATTGAGGGAGTCGTAGAACACTACTCTGACTAGTCTCTCTAACTTCAGTCGGTAATTTATCTCATCTTTTTACAAGTTATAACTTCTGTACGTCTTACAAGTATTCCAATAGTTTCAGGTACAAAATCACTAAAAGTCATATTTGTATTACATGCTTATAATATTCTAAAACAATATATTTTTTAGCTGACTTATTGGCTGTATTTAAATAGCGGTTGTCTGATTTTTAATAAGTAAGCTAGCGCTAAATATTGTCGTATGCTTATTTTACCATATAACCTATCCTGATATCAAACAAAATAGCCAGGAAAATATGTATCTCGTTTTTGCTCTTTATTCTTATCCAATATAGTAGGTGGAATTTTTAATCTGAAGTTTGGGACCATGCCATAACAAAAGCGTAATGCCATCAGAATTTAGTGATGGCAGAATGGTATATGGTTGATTGCATAAGAATTTTATATTTCGCTATAACTTTCTTCTAACTTAGTAATATTTTTGGATATAAATATAAATAAGTTACTAACTAATTTATTTGCATATCAATTTACCTTTCATGATGTGTTATATTAAGCGAGTGAATATCTTTACCTATTTTTATTATTGAATATAAGTTTCTAGTCGCTATTCCTAAAGTCATAAATATATTTAGATTAGCCCATCATCTACATCGTAAACCTACATATTTTCTTACACGTGTCTTACAGCTTTATATTCCTGTTTCTAGACATAAATGATATTTTTCTCTTACTAGTGTTTACAGCATCATATAATCAATTAGATTTGCAAATGTAGAGATATTTATGGATCAGTAGTTATGTAATTGGTCTTGTGTTTGTATTATGATTCTCCTTATATTAGAATCTTGATCATGACTGTAATGTTAGGTCGCCGAAGTTTTTTTAATCAAGACTCTTCAGTTGGATTTCGTGCTTGTAAGAACTTTTCCATGAAACCCACCTACAATCTGTTCTAGAAATGTATTGCCACTCTTCTAGTATTTACAATTCATATAACCTTCACAGTCAAACACGTTTTAAGTAAGCTATTTAGAATACGATTAGTGTATTACTACAGTACCAAGTCTAGTACAGTAATCAATTAATGCTCAGTAGTTTTCGTTATGTTCGATTATCAGTTTTGATAAAGTTTCCAATCTCTGTTTATATGAGTAGATAATTCTACATCACCATTATGTTTTTTCTCAACTTTAATGATTCACTTGTGATTTGAATATTAGAAGATCATTTCTCATATAAACTACCCGTTTATTTAATGTTAATTTTTATCCTTAATAAACATGATCTAGTTTGCGTTTACATTTGGATATAAGAGAAGATGACGGATCAGGTAATAATTTTACTCCTGTACCAAAAGAAAAATCAGAATTATTTAAAATGCGAAAGAGTACAGCTAAAAGACTATTTGTTGGTGTTAATCAATTAGATGGCCATGTTTACTTACCAATAAATGGGTTAGTAAATCTTTTTATTTCTTATTGAGATTCGATTTTATTTACATCATGACTTACAAATGATCAATATTCATCACAAGAGGCAGTTTTTCCAAAAATGAAATTATTAGATGTCTAGTAAATTTCAACTGAAAGTTGTTTGTGATCTGTTAATTTAATTATTGAAATTTGAGGGAAAAACAAAAATGATTTGGTTCTTTTTTTAAAATCTTTTCATGTAAACTATTTGAAGTCATTATAAATGGTTCAAAAGTGTTACATCAATGTTACTAATCAGATTATTACATATAACTTAAGCACTCATGAAAAGCTGATCCATCTTCACCATCTTTTCTATAAAATGGTAACTAAATTAGTTCAACTTAGTATCATTATTATAATTACTATTATTGGAATATCCCTACTTTATAATTTGGTTACGATATGTTTTCTCGTCCTTGTGGTAAGTGGATACAAATCTCCAATTAAAGATTTGTTAAATCAAAGTTTTGTTACATTGAATCCTTCTTAATACAATCAAATCATTGTGTAAACTCAATTTAGCAATATCAGCTTATGAAGATTGATCATAGAAAATTCCATACTTTAAAAGATTTATGAACCGTTCATGTCAGAGTCACAAACTATGCTGAAAACTAAATACCAACATGAATGAGTTAGAATGCGTGTTCACTATGCTTAAGCTGTATGAAATTTCTGTGTTATTCTTTGTACATCGAGATGCTTTACTCCTTCTTTCCTTTTCCACAAGTACAATAATGTTCGCAAGCTACAAACGTAGTAGCCAGCTTAATATACTTTTTGAAATCATAAGAATACACTCTTCTTTTAAAATTGCAAGATTTTAAATTAATAGACTACAACGTGTTCGTTGCTTACAAACCGATATCGCAATTATAAAACGTAGTTTAAAAACTTCGAAGCCTCAATACCTTTATGGATTTAAGCGATTCGACTTTCCTGTATAACTATAGATCTCATTTTGACATTTTTATGCCGAAATTGTGATCATAAAATGTTAGTTAAAGAAAGTCGATTAATTACACAACAGTAAGATTGTGCTATTAATTTTATAGTAATTTATTTTGAGGTGTGGATATTCTTTCCTTAGATTTATTACGTATATACATCATCATAATTGACATTCTCTTTATATCATCTAGGATTCTAGATGTATGCCTGGGTTATGGTCGTTATTTATCGGAAAATGAACTAACCTATTTGGGAGGCGAAGAAAATATGACGCAAGGAGAAGCATCGTCTAATATTTTAAGCGGAACTACATTTTCTACTTGGACTGATTGGCCATCAAATCATAACCAGTTTGCTATGTTTGATGTCATTGGAAGTCGTGGTGAGTTCTTCTTGTTGGTGTATAAGTATTTAGTGGATTGACTATGAAGATTATATAGTTATATTTTTGATTGAACAACCTTAGATTGTTTATGTTAACGAAATATATATATATATATATATATATATATATATTTCGCTTACACGTTTTGGGGACTGTAAACTCCATAACGTTTCTGTTTGTATCACATCCACGTTCACTTCTAGTTTTCTTAGTGACAATACTTCTTGCATATGGTACATTCTTAGAATAGTAATCCTGTGACCTACATGCAACGTACGTTTAATAATCTGGACGGTTTTACACACGATTGGTTCACGCATTAGCAAATCCTTTTTTCGTTGTTTTTTTTCTTGAAAGCATATATTTGTTTCTACTTAATTGAACCTTAGTTAAACTTCAACAGTGAACCGCATTTGTTTGTAAACTTGTTCTTATGATGCGTTCTTTGTCATTTTTTCATCGTTACTGTATTTGGTAAGATGCGATCAATGAAAATTATTATATTTCATCGTCCGACCATCATTTCTAATTGGATCTTATCATTTTAGCTGTGAAATCTTACTAAAAATCTAAAAATATACCAAACAGAGATAACTGTTTCATTTCTAATCTACTAGAAAACTAATAATCTGAAAGTTGTTATCAATTTCTTCTGAAACTAGATGATGTACATATTTTATGTTTGTGTATGTATGTTTTAGTGTTAAAGATTATAGCAGTTATTCCTATGACAGTTTAGAATACTGTAATTTATGCACAGATATAATTTCGATTATATTCAATAAAATCAATGAATCAATTAAAAAAGTGTCCACATTAACAATAACTTTACAACTAGGTTGAAATAATCTTATATCTATTACCATAACTCGATTAAAATGTAATCAAATGTTTTATCTATGGACTGCATAAGTATCACATTTCTTACTTACTTTACTATAGTTCACTAAATCAAACTCATAACAACACTTTTCAAAGTAAAAAATAAACAATTAACTACAAATATTCGTGTATTCAGATTTGTAACAAATATCTTATATGATTTCTAATCATATTAGCTATTTGTTTGAACTGAATCAAACGAACAAGGTACAAGCCTGAAGTTCAGTATTAGAAGGTTGGCTTCTTTAATTTCCCTCTCTGCACCTGAAATACCATTTCATGTTAACACAAGTTATCAAGACAATTATTGACCATTTTATTAAACCAAACGCTCCATATAGTATTTCCTTATGCAAATCGATAATCACCTGCCGATATTTAGGTTATATAACTTTAGTTTTAATAAAAGTTACAGTATCAAAGCAGAAAACATAAATACATGCATTACATTATATTTAAATGATCTACGTGTCAATAAATTGACCTCAGTGCTTTTATCTATATGAAACGCTTTTTTTCTTCTATCATATATTTTTCTCTAGATGAGTGTATATTCTTCACGATAGTTGTACATCTACTTATTAATAAACTTAAAGAACCGTTAACTCTGCGACGAATCTGTCGAGCACGTGTTTATAAGACGGATGAAACATTTTGGCTCAGTTTAGATAGAAAGCCTGTTGTAGAAGACTATACTATTCAATTAACTGAGGTTCGTGTTTCGTATTATTTATTATGAACCGTTGGTATGAACACATATTTTCATAGTTGGGTTAATTTTTCGTTTCTCTGTATCAATCCGTTTGTCCTATATTACAGTGTAAATAAAAAGTCCGGTGCAAGTAATCGGAAACTCAAAGAAAACACACTTGTTTTTTGATAACTCATTTAATCTTCAGTTCATTCACTGAAACGTAACTCTTACCGTTTACCACAAAAGGCTTACAGTCAAATAGTTGAGTTTCATCGTTAACATTAACAAGATGAGATCTATTAATTACATCTTGAATGAGTTGCTTTACATGCTGTGTTTTATCAGATGACAGTGTTCCCAAGCCAAAGCCTAAATCTATGTATTTTATAGTCATTTACTCTGTAATTCGTTAGTCAGTGAAGTATTTATAAGGCACACCAACATTTCTATCTTGGGATCATAGATTGTTGTTTCAATTGTTATTCAAGGGTTTATTTGTTGAAATGAATTAGGATACTTCTCTATAAATCTTACTTTAAGTTTGGCATTTTACAAGACGAAAATAAAATCATGAAGGTTTATAATTCCTATATACTCAGAAACTCTATCATAGCTGAGGGATTCCAAAGCCTAAAGTAAAATTTTCGAGAAAGATAATCTTCAACTATGTTGAATTTGTTCATTTTAATTAAAATATATGTACTTTTTGAAAGAAACTACAAAAACAAAACTCCTAAAGGTGTTACAAGATCTATAGCTACTCAGTAAAACTATTCCTAATGTCTTTTTTTAATACATTCGGTATTACTAACATTTATTCGAAGATAATTTTCACCCTGAGAAGATGATACTGAGTGATAAAATTATAAAGTTTTCTTTATACTGTGTTCACTATCGTTCTAATTGACCTAATGATAATTGTATTTGACTATGAACTATACTATATTACATGTTTGAACCTGACATCAGCTACTTTAGTTTGTATGGTTGAATCAGTATCATTAGCTATCACGTATAATCTCAATGTACAACATCCATTCACCACTATTCTAGTCAATATTGTTTTTTTATAACTCTTAAATCTTAATTGATTACCTTTATTTTTTAACAAAACAAACAAATATGTATAATTATTGTAGAGTATAGATGAAAACGGAAATTTACACGCTGGTAAAATAATAAAGATTTCCAATGTTTCTGCATTTCATCCAGAACATAACCAACCAATTATTTCATCAGTTGTTGATCAAGCTGAAGGTAAGTTTTTACTCATTCACTAACCAGTAATCAATTAACCTGATACTCAATACTAACAACAGGATTACTATACTTCTGATTATTTCTATTCATGATTATCTATGAAAATTAATATCTCATGCATATGATTTACATATTTCACCTGAATTAAATCTACTAATAATAGTGACCTTATTATTTCCAATGTAAATGATCAATATTTTCAACTGTAGTGTTTTTTTGTGGTTGTCAATCTTCTACTGTCAGTTAATGTATGGCATTTACGTGCCGCAAGACTATAGTGTTATACAAGTTTTGTTAACCTTAAAATTTGAGATATGTTTCTCTGATGATTGCTTATTTATGATAAGAATTGTCAATGAGCTGTATGGATCTGCTTGAGCCATTCAATAGCTCCACTTTGATTAAACCTCTGAGATACCATCAATCTCTTTAAGATTGCATATACATTTTTCTAATTAATCCGATTGATCAAATACGATTTGTATTACTCAATCTGTGCTACAGATTATACATATCAATCACTAATCAGAAATCCATACTAATTCAATACTTCATGTATTTCGATTTCTTGATCACAAGGTCATTAAATGCTTTTGTTTTAGTGCTCTAAAAACATAAGTCTTGATAGCGATTAATTATTTGTTCTTTATCCAACTACAAATCAATATTTTGATTTTAATCATGGTATAGAATCCACAAAATTGATTATTTTTCCCGATAAAATAGATAGATAGATAGAGAGAGAACAGCACATGTTTTAAAATCCATTTGAAAGACATGGATAAATTTTGTATTGTGGATACTGATTGGTTTTTTAACGATCATGTATTATAACTTCTCTGTTATTGCAATTTTTATGAGGTCTATATTTTTCTGCTGTATCGACAAAAATCTGAATAAATTTACCAGTTTGAAGTGCCATTTTATTGGTTATTTCAAGCAAATCATCTTCACCTATATGATAGTTTTTCTTTTTCTTTGAAAAATATTTATTAGTACTTTGCATTTGTGATATTTCCCAGTCAACATTTTATTATTGCGAATCAGTTTCTAATCAACCGACTGTTTTGTGTTAAATGGTGTTTAAACTCAAATCACCAATTCCTTTTTTTCTATTTTTACGCCTGTTACCCCTATATAAAGCGTAGGCCCCCGACCAGCATTCTCTAGTCAACTCTGTCTTAGGCCTTCCTGTTTGGTTCTACCCGATTGCTGTTCATTATTTCCATATCTGTCTTCAATTCTCGGTGCAGTGTGTTCCTTCATCCACCTCTTTTCCTTTGATCCTGAAGGTTCTAATTTAGGGCTTGTCTCGAAGTGCATTTGTCTGACTTTCAAAATATATGTCCTATCCGCTGTCAGCGCTTTTCCCCAATTTGTTCCTCAGCTGGAGTCTGGTTTGCTCTCTCCCACAGTAGATTATTGCTGATGGTGTCTAGCACACGGATCCGGAATATCTTGCGCAGACAACTGTTAATAAAAAAGACAGTGGCATTGGGTAACACACTTATCAAAGAAACCGACATTAGAAATCTGACTGTTAATGAGACTATCTCAGAAAAAGATGGGCCTATTATTCATTCGTAGTATGGGAGATTTGATCGATAGGCAGAACACTTTACGGAGCAGTTCAAGTGGCCGTCAGCCACAGTTTGGTTACCCATGATCTCCAGTCAACCTGATTGGCAGGTTGTGATATAAGTCCTCTGACTCTATGAAATCAAAGTGGCTGTAGGCGGTCTAAGGCGAGGAAGAGCGGCAGACCGTGATAGATTACTTCCTTAGATTTTTAAGAATAGTGTTCTAGCAGTGAGATTGACTGATATCTTCATTAGTATCTAATAACTGGACGTAATCCCATCTGACCCTATGGGATTTGAACCGGAAATTGTGGCTCTGTGCTAACGCGTTATGGCAACTTGAACTTATGTACGTACTTACAAAGTTCTTCGTTGTAACTGACTGACCGACCCATCTGTCTGGACTCAATCGTTGATTGTCCCAGTCTGTGAGAAAGGACAAAAGTCTTCTTGTAACAGTCACTGAGGAATCAGTCCAAATAATATAGTGTATAAAATATTAGCTTCAATATTAGTTCTACGGCTAACTCGAGCTCGTGGAGATCAGACTCGAAGAAACTAGGCTGGTTTCAGACCTGGACGTGGATGTATAGACCACATCTTCACACTACGACAGGTCCTGGAACACAGACACATATAGGCGTTCTACAATAGTTGTCTTCCTGGACCTTAAGGCGGCATTTGACTCTGTTGATCGTGAGGTTCTATAGCAGTTTCTGTCACTGATAGGAGTACCAGAAAAGTACATTAACCTTGTTCAAGCTCTCTACTCGAACACTACTGGTCGGGCGAGAGCTTATGGCGAACTGTCATCGAAATTCTTTACTTCAAGTGGTGTCCGTCAGCGTTGTCCACTCTCCCCATTCCTCTTTGACTTTGTCATAGACATGCTTTTAGAGTTAACTTTATCTTCGTCTAACTTTTCAGGGTTGGACCTTCTACCAGGAAAAACGCTTGCTGACTTAGAGTATGCTTATGATGTAGTTCTGTTTGGTGGAGACGCTGACAAAATGCAGGGTCTTCTGACTACCCTAAACAACAATGCAAGCATATTCGGGATGCGATTGTCTTTTTCGAAATGCAAAATTTTGCTTCAAGATCGGCTTGTATCGGCACCTTAGTTTGTTTTGCTTATATCTCGTCGCCAACGTATACATAAGACTTAGATATGTCATCATTTGAGAACTTGATAAGATTCGTTATTTGATAAGTCTCGGTTTTCATCCATGGCTTTAGAGATTCAGTATACTGCCTAAAATTTTACCATACTTAAGTAACTTAAGTTTCCTGGCCAGTTATAACCTTTTTCTTTATGTAAATAAGACTGGAGAACAGTTAATTTAAGACAGGGCACCACGCAATGAATTAAAATTAGATTGCGTTAACATCTGAATTAAACAAGACGGTATTGTTACTTGACCTTGAGTCATTGAAAATATCACAGTTTTTATTGTAGTTCAATTCTTAATTTTTTTTTGGAAGTTCAATATAATCTAAAGTTTACCGAAACGTTCGTCAAATAAGTTTCATATAACATCTCCCCTTATTTCTGTAATGGATACAGCTCAATCTGATTTCATCGGATAATGCTTTACTTATCACATCCATTCAAACTTGTTTACCCATACTAAGTCTTTTTTTTTTTAAATTTAGTAAAAGAGACTACTGAAACATCTTGTTGTTAGCCTTCCGTTGATTATAAACGTTCAATCAGTTTCAATGACAAAAAAAACGAACATTACTAAGCTAACTTTTGTATAAATCAAGATGCTTGATTTTCCTAACGACATTTAATGATATTGCTTTCAGTTGATATTTAAAGTGATCTATAGTCTAAGTAACTTGACTATTCTCCCAAACTACTTTAAATCATTTATTCATTTCTTCCCTACTCACTTGAATGGCCATCATACAATTCAGAAAGTTTATTTGTATTATTTGGTGCATTTCTCTAAAACTTTCAATTCAGCATCTTGTTCACATGCATATTTCTGATCATTAATGCCAATAAAAAATTTTTCAGTTTTACCTTGAAATTAAATTATATTGTACAATGAAAAAAAGTACATCGCACTGTGATATTTACATAGTTTATTTTTTCTTTCTTAAAATATTTTCTACACTGGGAAACAGGTTGCTTTATCTATTCAATGCTGGGAATAATACCTTGATTATTGATCCGTGTTTGTAGTTTAAATCTCATTGAATCTTATCGGGATGTGCTAATTAGATCAGTAGTAGCGGTTGTACATTTTAGAACTGACATCCGTAGGCATTACAATTATTGGTATGAAAGAAATGATTACATTGGAAGATTGTTGAGTAGCATCGTTTTTTTTCATGAATTCCTACCTGTTCCTGTGTAAGAATTAATGTGATTGATTGCTTTCTTTATAAATGGTTTGGAAAGTTACAAACTAAAATGCGTTCTGTTTATTTTTAATTTTGATAATCATGCAACTTATATTATCTATATTGCTTTTCATACCATCTTGTAAAGGGAATGTTGTATACTCGAATAAATACACTGAATAACATCTCAGTAGTAAGAAGTATCATGTTTTCTGAATCTTCGGTTTTGATAGAATTCTATTGATAATGTTTGAATATGAAAACTCGGGCTCGGTAATGCGATACCTGTGTACTGTTTTTCAGTGCTAAGTAGTTAACAGAATTTAATCGAAACGCTGAACCTAAGTTTCACCATGGCCAGCATTCGTAAAAACAATGTGCATTTATTATCGAGAAAACTGGTGACTCAGAGACATCAACTGCTAAAGTATCCATGCTGTAATTCACCTCATTTAAGACTAATATATTTGTACCGGTTGAGTTTCATCGATCGAGTGATACAAGATTCACAGTTTTACATCGGTTACCTTCAACCTAATATAAAAACTAACTGTTGGAATTCATTAGAATGAAGAACTCTGGATCCAGTATCAATACTGATGTATTCATTTCTATTCACTATTTCTCGGATGTGCTGGCCAATAAGTACTTCTCTTTAGTTCTCAAGTTAAATTACCAAGTTGATTTTTTCCGTTTATTAACCTATTAATAAAGACTACGAAATGTTTTATGAAACCTACAAAACGAAATTAATTTCCTCTTACAAACTAAATTCTATTTCAGATAGTGACAATGAACCGTTGATGAGCGGTAATGGAATTGTATCGAGAGAGGTTACAGATGACCAGCTACTTCTTGAATGGGGTCATTTAGTTACTGAATGGCATAATAAAGTCAAACATGACCAAACTAATGGTCTCGGTTTATCTACAAGTTCTTTGAGAATAGAATTATTACATAGTGGTTGTTCTGGTCCACATATTTCTCATTTAGGTTCTGCATTTTGTCAACGAATTAAAAAACTAGTTAGTCGTGGTATTCCAGATGCTTTAAGAGCTGAAGTTTGGCAATTATTATCCGGATGTCCTGCTGACGAAAGTGGATTAATGGATGCTTATCGAATTCTCATTACCAAAGTAAGCAACTCTAGAAAAATGTTTCTTTGTATTTTTCTATTGAGATTTTTCTCCTTCGGCAAAAGAATATTTTAATCTGTTTAGTGTTGAGCCTAGTGTTCAGATAGTGGTTTATTAGATAAAGCGTAAAAAACCTATATTCTCCAAAATCAAACCATGCTCCATGGGTTTCTAAACATCAGTATGGTTTCATTAGCTGTACTATTTGTATTAACCGATACGAATTATCGCTCACACATGGACTCCGACAATAATCACATACAAATAACATGAACAAAAACTGTCCAACAACCATTAATTTCCCGCTATGAGGCAGGCAGTTAGCATATAGACAACTGCTTTAGCTAAAAAACAACCAAATGAATGAGTTACATGTGTTGTTCTTAACCCACTATTTATCGTACATAACCTCGACGATTGCTTTGATAGTAATCGTTTCTACAATGTTGTTCGTCACTCAACTATGCGTACTCACGAAATACTACGCATCTACTCTCAACTTTCTTTTCATGTTAACTTTTTATGAACAGTAACCTGATCTTGAACGCTGTGTATTATGTTGTGATTCACATCAATAACGCTTAAGTCATTAATAGTTTGAAGCTTCACTTTACACCCTAAATCTATATTTTGTTTATTATTTAATTCGGTCTCATCACCACCATGTTGTCCTATTCCGTTTATGTCACAGAGTGAAATCTGAATCGTGAACTGTAATGTAATATTCTTATTATGCATAGAAATAAGCTTGGTTTTAGAAATGAGGTAGAGTCTTCCTCTAAAATGAGGATTACACATTATCACAAATAATCTTATTTTCTTGATTCAGTTTATTGTATTCAATCCTTGGACACACTTCATTCGTACATTCATTCTACTTTGCATATGACTGATACTGCATTTGTTTGTTACAGATCTTTATTATTCGAAATTTTCCACTATGTTGTACACTTAGTTTTTGTTAGGATACCCTGAAAATGACCATAGCACTAAAACTGATCTAACTGGTGTTTACGTACACGTTTTATATCCTTATCACTCAATACTGAGTAAATTATTATTATTATTTCGCGCACTTGTAGTTGTATACATATGTTGACTGCATCCAACTGAAAGTGATAGAGAATCTGCAAATGAAACTTTCCTGCTTTGTATCTATTCTATCTGATCAGCCTTTTAAATGACTGAAATTAGTACTATCTATTTACCTTTCAGAGTCAATAAATTTACTAATCAACTCTCTCTCAATATATATATATATATATATATATATATATATATATGCACCCTAAGATTCGTGTTCTCGCTGGGACTCGAACGCAGTACCGTTTGTCTCAGCCAAACTATGAACAACGGAATAATTCAAATCAAATTATATCCATTTATGATATTGGTGTATATTTCTATCCTCTCGGTTATTCTGTGTCGTATTCGCCGACAGTTTATTGTTAAAATAATCGCATTCACGTTGTATAATTATGTGTATGAATTTATATTTTTCTGTCCATATCTGTCATATAACCGTGGATATGTTTCTTACTGCGTTTTGATCTGTCATGTGTTTATCAAACTGGTTTATATTTTCGATACGTTGTTCTTATCTCAAAAATATATCAGCAAGTGTAGCAATCACTTAATAGTTAGATCACTCGGTGTTTAAACAGCTGGTCTCATCATCTAACCTTATTCTATCTTATTTAGTTTGAATAAACACGGAATAGTGGTATGCATCACTAGCATTCAGAAATTGGCAAGGATATGTATGTAAACTCAAACTTTGCAAATGAGTTGATGTTTTCACAGTAAGGTATTTTCAGACCTATCTCATCATATTTGTTTTTGTGTGTGCCTTTTAAACTTTCGTAATCAAACTTAATTTCAAATGATAAAAATTTGATGTAATTTTCTGATTACTAATTTATACCGTGACTTTGAGTTTTAACCATTCGATCTGCAACCAGTACATCGTTTAGGTTTATGCAAATGAATAATATCTCCAACCGTATTAGTAAGTATGACTAGATATATAAGTTGGCTATCAAGTTTTGTTGGTGAAACAATACAACAAGGAATGTAGTATATACATTATTTTGGTACAAAAAATCTTTTGAATAATTACTTGTCTATACATTCACATTATATATAATCGTCTTTTCTAAATGCATATTATGTTTTCATTGTAGCCTTGTAAACATGATGAAGTTATACGTCGTGATTTAGCACGTACATTTCCAGCTCATAGTTTCTTTCGTGATAAAATTGGACAGGAAAGTCTTTTTCTTGTTAGTCGTGCTTACGCTCTATACGATGAAGAAGTTGGTTATTGTCAGGGGTTGACATTTTTCGCCGCTGTGTTATTACTTCATGTAAGTTATTCTTGCCTAATTATAAAATGGAGTTTACAATTTCTTTAAAATTATCATACTTAAATAAACGTATATGTTTAGCTTTCAACCGATCCTTCACATCCTAATTCACTCTAATGAATTAACATCCATCATACCTATGGAACATTAAAGAGTACTCTGTTCACTTTCTACCGTACCTGGGAGTTTAAATGCGACCTTGTATTATATCACTGAAGCTTACTTACATTAGAATAGATTCATGATCTAGATATTCGATGTTATTATCAAGGCACTTTCAGTACCAGCCTTCAACAAATCATTCTCAAATGTTAACCTTATTCTATCTACTTCTGATTGGTCAACCAAATAGTATCACTAAGAGTCACAAATAGTCTTGCTTAAAACCAAGCACATCGACTGACAATAGATGTTCGAATTCAGCAAACTATGTAGTATGACAGAGCAATCATTGAGTGTGATAATTACTCTTTAATTTATTAAAGAATGAGTAACCTACAAAACCACACGTTTTTTTGTTAGTACTTTATATATAAACATGTAGTTTTTACTAAGAGGAAATCTCTTCTAGGCTTCTGGTTTTGCCGTGCAATACATATTCCATTGGCATTTTATTTTGATGGTCATTTGAACATAACGTATTGCTGTATGATTACAGTCGATCAGTAAATATAGATGCATCAATCGAACATTCTCTAAACACCCTTTTATTAGCAATAAATATATTTCATTAGCGTGACGCTTTGGTTTTATTTTATATCGTGTGTAAAATTTTGTTTATTTTTTCAGTATCTCATTTTATAAAATCACGTGCTTAAGCTAAAAGAATTATCTAAGCTTTTATTACATTAAATTATCATCATAATAGCAATAATAATAATAATAATTTTAAAGTGCTATCAACATTTCAGTTGTGTTGATGTGTATATTTGTACCCAACTTTTATAAGTGATTTCATTGAATAGGGATGATACTCAAATAAATTGAACTCATTCATTTTTGTTCTGTCTCATTGAATAATTATTCATGATCAATGTTTCTGGGAATATTTTTTTTCGTTTTATTACAGATGCCAGTAGAACAAGCATTCACATTATTAGTACAAGTGAATAATAATTATGGAGTTAGAGAATTTTTCCTAAATGACTTTGATGGATTACACCTGCGATTGTATCAATTGGATCGTATAATTCAGGTAAAATACGATTGTTATTTTGGAGGTTGTTGAGTTTGAAATCATGAACCGATCAAAGTTAGACAACTATTGTAAGCTGAGAAGTACTAGGCGGCCATTTTGTTTTGCGTTCGCTTGTGAGATTGCAAGTCCTTGGTTAGATTCACGCGTACTGTTTCGTAGATACGTATTGCTGAAGGGTCTGATACTAGCACGAAATAGCTATCCGGCGCTAACATGTTTGCAATAGTTGTCTAACTTTGGTTTGCTCGTTATTTGAGTAAATTATGGTTATCCTCATGAAATTTCGTATTCTGTTCTCTAATTCATATTATTGAAAAGTAATAAACTTTGTGTTTAAGTCAATAGACTTCTAAGTATATAGATCCAAAACTTGAACCTCACTGTACGTCTACCATAGTTTTGCCAATCTAATAGTCCCTCTTGCTTTTCTACATAAACTGGTGGATCTCTCGAAACTGAGTACATGAAGCAATTGTACTCAGTAAATAAACTTGCTTCACATTAAAAAACCTTTTTTTTAGTTATGCGTTCAATAATAATTCTTTGATTCAAGATTTTGTCGAGATAAAAAATTGTTGTGGTAATCATGATACGATCGTATATTGACAACTTTCTATTCTCCTTGTATTAGCATTATTCATGCAACAGTTTGACGTAATACTACCATCTTCAGAAATCCACTGTCTCACAGTCACTGCTAATTAATTATAACCAACTGTAAATCTTTATTACTTACTACTTTCCAAGGAACTACAGGCTGGTGATATAGTTTTAGATCAACGTGAACATGGTGATTAGATTTGAAGTCATTTACAAATTATGCATCATCATACACCATGATTATTATTATTATATTATCAATTTATGTGTATTCCATAAGTTCTAGTAGCTTTGATTTGTTTTGTTTTTTTTTATGTTGCACACTACTTCACTTTTCTTTTTTGCCTTTCTTTCTTACTTTTCCAATTAGGATCAATTGCCAGATGTTGCAAAACATTTTAATGATCTTGGCTTAGAAACTCACATGTTCGCTAGTCAATGGTTTTTAACATTGTTCACAGCGAAATTTCCATTAAATGTTGTCTTTCATATTGTTGATCTATTTCTAACTGAAGTATGTTGTTGTTTTTGTTGAGTGTCGTCACGTTTCTTTTTTTTTTCAAATTGCATAAACACCATTTAATAATTTAATTATTGAAGAGAAACAATGCTAAAGTTCTACATTTATTTTTATCACATCCAAGTAAAATGTGTTTTGGTGCAGCATACCGTTAGACATTAGAAAGTTAATTTCGATCATAGATTAAAAAAGCAGTTAGTGACTAGGACAAAAGCATATTATGAGAAGTACGAAAAGATTTTTTTTGAAAGAAAATTATTTTTTATTACAATTAGATTTCGCAATAAATCTGTACATTTTCACTGGTTATCTATGGTTGATTTTGACTAACACATTAATGTAAAGATTTGACATATTGTCGATCAATATGATGATTATCACTGTTTGAAACGAATTTCGGTATAAGGCATGAAACATTTTATAGTTTGAATAATTCCAAAAAACGACTGAATTCCATTAAATCATAATACTTTTGTCTACGACCGTAGCTGCTACCTTGACGCGGTGGTTGGGCTTGCCTATCGTGATGACCGAATCGAGCTTTATTGGCTGCAATATATATTCCTGAAGGTTCTGCCATGTCAGGCAGGTCGATTGGAAAACGATAAAACTACAAGCAGCTGCTCAAGGTCTGAGAGCGAAGTCCTACTGCTGATTTTAGTAGAGAGGTGTGACAGCAGTAAGGTGTTTCCCTCGGACAACCATCATCTGCGACGATGCTGCCTTCTCACAAGGAAGAAAGTAATTAGAAATGGTCGATCTTAAAAATGTTACACCTCGCCTTACCTCAGGGATTTCCGTCTCCGGCGGTAAGACCTTTTCAGCAAGAATGGAGCTAACACTTTAAAAACTTCTCATCAAAGGCCATGCATGACCGGCCTCAAGCATTTGTCCCATGGGCTCTGCGGTCACGTTCCCAGGTCGTTAAGACCAACACCAATCTACCTTCCTTTTCATGTTCCTCACTAATCTAATAATTTTGTCATTAATATGAATGAATTGATAGTTACAGTATTTTCCTATTAAAATCAACTTCTCATTTAAATATATCTTTGTTCTGCATTAGTCAATATTATCTGCTTTTATAATATTGTTACTTTTTAAAACAAAAACTTTTTTTCATTTATGTTTATTACAGGGTTTAATATTCATATTCAAAGTATCTTTAGCACTTTTACAACTGGCTAGACGTGATTTACTCGGTTTGGACTTTGAAGGTGTTCTGAAGTATTTACGCGTTACAATGCCAAAAAAATATTTAGCCCATGATGCTAATCAAGAACTCCTTAGTGTTGCATTGTCGGCTAAAGTGAGTTTGACAAAAAGCATCTTGTCTAATAATGTAACAGATTTAATGTGTGAGGAGAAAATCTTTCATTTAACTGGATAAATGTTTTTTGAATACGTATAAAGAAATTGATAACATTAACAACTGTATTAGATAATAGATATTTTGGTGTATATATACCAGTCATTGACCCGATTGTGACCGATTCTGACCCATGTTATCCAACGTTTTCAACCACTAGTCATAGTTTCTACACAGATCCCTACCAGATAGTGCATATCTAAAAATATGAATCAGACTAAAGTCAGTGACTTCATGAACTAATATGTTATGGTCTAATCACCCTTTACTTCCTTCCGCTTTATTCCTACACCAGCCAACATCACCCATTGATCTTGACTGTTACTGAGAATGCGTAACACATGTTCCGACTAGTGGACTGAGCCATGTCGGTAATTGTCGACTACCTGGTTGGGGTCCGCGAGATGATAATAATCGATGGTTAGAGACCTTGAATGACATGGCTCAAAATCGTTCGCAATGGCGCAGGTGCATTTATTCTTTGTGTTCTCTCAAATCCTAATCTTCTGGATTCTTCAACCTTTCTAGTTTCGACTCTCTAAACTTTTCTCACTGAATCATACTTCTTGAATAGTATCTTCTAATCCTAACCTCTCCGATTACTTCTAATTCCCTTACTACCTCTTCCACTATTGGATTTGAATTGACGATTACTTCTCTGTGCTGATGTGGTTTGGCAACATGAACTGATGTACTTTTGTACAAAGTTCTACGTTGCATCTGACTGACTGACTGTTCCGACTACCTCAATTGATGAAGTTATACAATTTCGTCTATTCATTTTTGCAAAGTTCTTTGTGCCTAAATATAGTATTGGTCGTTCAGTCATTCCACAACAAAGTAGCACATTATATACTGAAAAAATGAAATAAGGTTAATAGTAGCGATCATACAATAAATAGTATGTTACTGTTACATTTTACGTCTAGTTATCAAGTCTTCTTTCATAATTCACTGCTTTTGGGATTTGATCTCAGTGTGCGTATGTGGTATGGCAACTTCAACTGATGTACGTACGTACAAAGTTCTACGTTGTAGCTGACTGACTGACTTTGTTTTCGGAGGAAACAACATGTATTGTTTCCACTCACTTTCCAACCGATTTATTTCCGATATATGTCATTCAGTTACTGTCTAACATACCGATTATTCATAAATATACATATTTAGTTAGTACTATTCATTGGAATTCTGACTGTTCAAAGTTTTTGATTCGGTGATATTTCAACAACACTATCAAAAACTGTTTTGTTTGTTGGTTAGAGAAAATTGTCTACTTCTAATATTATGTATAAGCAAATTATTATCTACTGTAACATGCTATTATTCCCAGTTACTTAGTAAACCGAGTATGTTTTGTAGATTAACTAGTAAATGATTTCAATTCTGACATAGTAAGTCATTATAATTGCAAATAATACTTAGGCTCTATGATAATTTATCGTTTTCATTGCCTAGTTCTTTCCTTGATACAAAGTTTCCATATTTAATATCTTAAACGCTTTAAGTGATTCGTGAATAATTTTTTGACTGGTCATTTATTGACAGTGTCATTATCCATATCGATTTGTTATGTAATTACATTGATCCATAGTTCGGGTCAAATATTTTTAAATTAGTGTATATTTTCAATTCGAATTTATGAAGTTTTATCTACTCTGTATATGATGCTTTTTTTAAATACGCAAATCAATACCAATCATATCATCCTGTGATTTATTCCCCTCAAATGACGTTGAGTAGTTTTGTTGTTAATTTATTAATGAAACGTTTTTAAATTCATTTATCCACAATGTATATCATAGAAGTAACATAACATGTTATTGTTATTACCTAGAACTATATAACTTAGTATTCTAGTTTTTGTATTACGTGTTCGTATTTTTCTCATTGTGCACATTTCCTCACAGAATATGATTATACAGCTTTATAGAAAAAAAATTTGGTTGAAAAGAGATCGCCTCAATCAACTACATGTTTTTCTATATTTTTATGTGATAAAAGTGTTCAAAAGTTGAAACAGTTTAGCTTAATCTGTTCCCTTTTCTTTATCTATTTTTTCCGTTCTCTTTGTTTCTATCATTCCTCACAAGAAATACTAAATCTTCTTTCTTCAAAACTAGGAAACGGAATTTTGCCATCAGGTGAAGCAATTCAACATGATAATATATGCATCTTGTTACTGTAATTCTAAATTATCAAATAAATCTATTTAGATTCAGTAGAATAATGCATTTTACATGCATAAAAATGATCCGAACAAATAATCAGTGTATGAGCCACTAACAGGGCATTTTACGGTTAATTAGTGAATTGGAAAATTAAAATTACAGAAAAAATACTGGCTACTCATGAGTAGTATCACAGTTACAACCTCATACCTTGTCTTCTTAGTGTTTCTATGAGTATCAAACTTGGGCACCGAATTCTTCCAATGATTTCTGTGTACTTAATATCTAGTTGTATTAATTATATCCCATACTGATTGAAAATTAACTTTAGGGGTAGTTTTTGACACTTTACTTCGCGAACTAGTCTACTCCGGTAGCCGATTCCTTTCAGATAATAATATTGATGACATTAATTGTTAAATTTTGTCTATATCATTTTAGTCATATTTATTTTTATCTAAATTCTATGATTACTCAGCTAATTGGCGTATAATTCTAATGTCCAATTCTATTGAATTATTTTATCAACATTTCATATTTGTCTGAACTACTTTCGATGTAAATTTCTTTGATAAATTCGTCTTTAAAAAATTTTCACATTTCTATTTTCTCTAATTTTATAAAAATATTCTCATAAAATCACTAATCTTTTGTTTGAAATGTTCCTCGTTTATTTGAGCTGAGAAAATGTAGTCGGTATTCTTAATTTTTTATTTAAAAATCAAAATTTGTACAATCCATGTCGTAATACTTGTTCTTCTGAAAAGATGACTAGCTCATCATAAATCATACTCATAATATACTAACTTTCCTTAACTTCATCTGCACATTGTTTTCATATATGTTGTCCGTATTCTCCAATTGAATCAACTATTTACACTGTATCACCGTGTTTGCCAACGCGTATACATGTTTCTCCAACATGAAGATCATTTCAATCAATACAAACATATATTATACTCTGTAAATAGCTCCCTATCTAATTCTGATTTCAAGAGTTTGAATGGTGCCAATTTCGTAATCTAATCACTGAACATTAATTGTAGAAATGTTCATAGTTTCTTGCTTTGTATGTGTTATTTTGCGGTCATCGTTTATTGTTCTGATGGTAAAGTTTACATTAATGTTTTCTTCTAGTACATATTTCCCAAATGATTATTGATATATCACAAAATCGTGAACTTTTAAAAGTGATTGCAGTTTCATCAATAGTAGTCCGTTGTAGTTCAGTCAATCATGATTATTCCTATCAACTGACGTGGTCATATAATCTAAATAAGACATATTCAGGCAAGTAATTTATACTAATACGTAATTAACTCAAATTTTATCGATATAATTAGAGACTTGGAATGAAGGTTGTACAGACTACATAATTATTTCCACATATTGTTTGTCTAGGATTAATAGGATAGTAATTCGAAATTAACAATTCAGTTAGTCTACTGTGTATACCATAGGTTCAATATAGCACAAATAGATTGTGGTTAGCAGTATAAACCAGGACGCTTGTTTCGTTTTATTTGGGACGCGCCAGCTGGATATGTGTGTACATCCTAGAGTTGATGTTTCCCTTGGTAACTCAAGCTCAGCACCGTCCGCATCAAGTTCTATCATGTCGAGATAACCAAGGTACCTCCGGTGTTTAAGATACTGGTAACACACTCCTTTGGCTTTTAATTATTTAAGTATATCACCTCCAAGGTAGCTAGTATTTTGTTACTTTACATTTACAGAAAGCTATTCTGAGCAGTATTTTCATGTTAAGGATATTTATCATGACTTCTAGGTTTGTAAGGAACAAAAACCTTTCTCGTGTTAATTATCTAAAACAATAACAGAATATTCTGAATAACAGAATATATGCAGTTATTCAAGTCAATGTATCCTTAATAATGACTAGAAATTCTTTCTAAAAAGAAACTTATACCGTTTGAGTTCTCTGTTCTTATTCTCTTCTTATTCAGTCCCTTTTTCTTGATTAATTTATACTTCTTACTATCATTCAGTAACGATTATTCACACAGTATCTGCTCTGGATATACCACATACTACTTAATTTCATGATAAAATTACCGTATTTGCTGAAAATGTTGCGTTTCTGATAACCAGATTTTACTTGTCATTCAATTGTGTACAGTTACAAAACTTCGATAAAATTTTACACTCAATTTATTCTCTTACATTTATTGAAAGGTTACTTCTCCAAAATTAAAAAAATATGCCAAAGAATGGATAACAAAGAGAGCTCAAGAAAAAATGATTGAATCACCTCTACATGTTATGGAATGTCAATTGGCATCATTACGACGAGAAGTTGCTCGATTAGAACATGAAAATGAATCTCTAGCTACTGGTCTTTTATCAAGTAAAACATCAATGCATAAACAAGTTGATCGGGTAATTTATTTGTTGTTTATATCCTATGACTAATTCTACTCAGTTTTTCTAGATTTACAGTTGATTATTTATATTAAGGGTTGTGTTTACATCGTGTAAAGTTCTTGAGAAATTTTATATGTGAATAAGTTTACTATCCACCAACAGTTCACAGACTAATTATTAAAAGTTTTTTTCTTATCGTATACAACTATTTCTTATTACCTTTTCATTCAACTCAGATTCTTATGAAGTGGAGAAAAGAGATATTCGATCGTAGAAGGCTAGTTAGTGAATGAAATCCTCATGTTTAATCTATTAATGTAATTAATATAACAATAATTATACAATACTTCTCTTTATCATGTAGGTAATTTTCAACTTGTAAATTATTTAAATATATATATATTGTGTAATATTAAAAATCAGATCCTTTCTCCTGTGGAATCGACTTCTAGTACATTATTTGTTTATTATTCTCGAGGATTAGTTTGTGTTCTGTCAGTTATATTGTACAGCTATCTGCTTTTTTGGTTGAGTGTTTTAATGTGTGTATGCGTTTGTTCTTCAAATAGTGATTGAATTGATGACGAAGAAACAAACGATACACCATAGTTTCTAGTACCTGATCCTTGTGGTAAAACTGTATTATATGCTATCGAGTCAAAAAATGAAGAATTACAGTTTCCCCACTCATAATAACATTATATGTTTGATTACAGTAGAAACTCTTAGCATAAAATCTTCAGTATTACAATAGATCCTTTTTTTTATGTCCATTTATGAGACAGATTTGCAAAAAATTAGATCATAATAATGATTCACAAATGTTTCTTTTTATCACTTTTGCTCCTATGACATATTTTCTCATAATACAATTGATGCATTCATTGCATTCTCAATCTTTTCTTGATTCTCCATGAAAGCTGAGCAGGAAAATATATCAACAATCGTTGTTGTTATTCTTGCATTCCACAGTGGTCCCAAAATTTCTATGGTGGCTTTTGTAGAAAGTAATTGATCACGTGTAATTAGAATAAGTAATCAGTCAATCAAAACAAATCTAAAACAGGAAAATTTATTGCAATATTTGCACTGTAGGAAAGTCAGAAGTTTATAAATAGATTTGTGATGATGCCGTACATTAACTCCTGAAAAATTATTGAGGCTATCACAAACACGAAGTAAGCGATTATATTGAAACAGGCATCGGTACTGCTTTTACTTTGTGGTTGTCATCGGCCCTATTCAGCCTTGCATAGGAAAAAACCATCAGCCAGTACTGGATAATCACACCACTTCAGTATGTATGTGTTAACACAGGTGAAGTCATCTGTGTATATATCTAGTAATTCCCTCACATTTAGGATAACCACGAAAGATACTGCCCAGATGAAGGACAGGGTGCACTAGGGTCGCTTATGTAAGGGGAAAATCATCTCCACAAACTTTAAGGGATTTCTCTCTTTCTATGGTTTATTCATCATGTTTGCCGTCTTAGTATTAGAGTGAGACCTGGTGACAGTCTAACTATAAACAATATTGTTCGCTTATATGTGTTGTCTTGGCAATCAAATGGGCATGTTTCATTACGTATATGCACAAACCGCTTCACTGGTGTCTATGTAGTACTGTAACAACACTACTATCTAGTCCTGGTTGTATTCACAAAGCTAAACGTTGGTTGTTTCTCTGCGAAGATCGATCCTGTTTATCTCTGGCTTCACGTAGAAGGGACTAATGAATTTGTTGGAAAATGCTGGCTATCTACATGCATCTGCTTTTTGGGGATTATGATCACTCTTCCAAGTGTAAATGTTAGTTGGATATTCTTGTATTCAGATTTTTATCATGATGACATTTTAGACTATCCATCAAATGATGTATCATGAGAATATATAGAAATGTCGTAATGTCTCATTTTCACAAATATTTGCTGTTTGATCGGTAGTGAACTAATCAATAACTATTTACTTAATTGTGAGCAATTTCATCAGCATTATACTATTCATTGTCCTAATCATGAATTCATGTATAAAGCCTCTTCTAAATTTTGAATTTCCTTATTACATTTTTTTCATGGGAATGTAGTACTTCATAATAACGTATTATATACTTGAAATTTAACATCATGTTTAGGTAAATCGACAGCTAGATAGACGATTTATGGAAATTTAGTTCACTGTAGCGAATGACAATATGTGTGAGGTTTATACAAATCTATGTTTGTTTATAAATTTTCATTGTATTCTATCAATTCTACAGTATTTTAAATAACTTCTTGGGTTGAATAACAATAATAATAGATTTGTTTATGCTTATCGTGCACTCTTACCTTTGTGAACTAAACACCATTTCTGTGCTTTCAGCTGTTGTCTCTTCAAACTACACTAAAATCTGCCATGTTTAAAAGTTGATTTTTTTTAATTATCAAACTATTCCTTCATTGTAAACACAGATGAATTGTGACTAATAATAAAATCCAGGATATGTATTTTGTCTTATTTGGGACTCGTTAGCTGGATGCATCTGCAGTACCTTCCTCTTCAAGTGCAATAGCGTCATACTCTTAGCTACTGAGTCGAGACAACCAGTGACATGTGCAATGAGATGATGCGTTGATTCATGTGTGGTTTAAATCTTCCCATTGATAGTTAAAACTGCGTCCTGTAATCCATGACTAACCACTTTCCATTTCTAGTTATAATGCTTGTAACCTTAAGGTTGTAACGAGGCCAATCCACACAGGATGCATGTATGTCAAATGCGACTGATCAACTGAGAAATTTTAATACTTCATTTTTTTCACAAAGTATAAATTTAATATTTTTTTAAATAGATGATGATAATCTATGTCATTTTGTTTCTGTACATTTCAGTTAGAAGATGAAGCTGAAATATTAACTCGAGAATTATTCGCTTCCAGACAAGATTTTCATGATGCTTTAGAAGAAAAAGCTCATTTAGAAAATGAAGTACTACAAGTCAGTTAATCTTTCTATAGAACTCACTTGAAATTTTATCAAATAAAATATAATTTATTCTAAATATTATCTCATACCGACGAAATTACGATAAATTATTTTGCAATTAATTATTTCAGTTGACTTTTATATCCATTGCATAGTCATCGGTTTAATGATTTTTCATCGAATTCATAATTATTTTTTCTAACACATGAAAATATTCTATACTCAAAAGTAATTTAATCTCATTCTATGCCATGATTGTTTAAGATTAATTGTTTCAATAATTTTATATAATTAGTTGGTCTATATATATTTGAATGATGTCAAAATAATAATCTGATTGGAATAGCTCATTTGAGTCGTTCCATAATGTTCAATAAAACTATACAAACTCCTCATAAAAAGGCCATACGTGACCGGCCTCATACGGTTGTCCCTTGGGCTCTGCGGTCACGCACTCAGGTCTTTAAAACCAACTCTAATGCAAATTCCTTTTCAGATTCCTCAAGAAACACCTTTTTCTACGGTTTGGACATCCGTTAAGTGACATCGACCCTCATACTCGTAACAGTACACGAGAACCAATCGCTTACAATCAAATTGTGGATTCGGATCATGCTCTAGTACGAGCTCTAGGAAATATAATACAAAGGAGTGCAGAAGGCCCTGATAGGCTAACTCTTGAGATTTCGCAGGATGGTTGTCCAGTCTCAGCAGTGAGAATGACTGAGATTTTAGGTAGAACCTGGGAACTGAACGTAATCAAATCTGACTGGTATCAATCACTGATTACCCCAGTCTACAAAGAACGACAAAATTCCTCTTGTGGCAGTCACTTTAACTAATATTGCGTCTAAGATATTGGCTTCAATAATACTTCGACGCCTAACTAGTGCTCGTAAAAACCAGTCTGGTTTCAGAGCTGGATGTGGCGGTGTAGGCCACATACTCACACTTCGTCAGTTACTGGGACAGATAGTCACTCTAAGACGTCCCACAATAGTTGTATTTCTCGACCTTGAGGCAGCGTTTGACTCTGTCAATCGTAAGGTTCTGTGGCATTGTCTGTTATTGTAAGGAGTACCAGGAAAGTACACTAACCTTATACAGGTCTCTACTCGAACACCACTGGTCGATTAAGAGCTTATGGCGAACTGTCACCGGAATTCTTTACCTCAAGTGGTGTTCGCCAGGGCTATCCACTTTCTCCATTCTTGTTAAACTTTGTCATAGACCTGCTTCTAGATATAACATTATCTTCGTCTGACTTTTCAGAAGTGGACCTTCTACCAGGAGATTCTCTTATTGACCCAGAATATGCCGATAACATAGTTCTTAGTGAAGACGCCGACAAAATGCAGAGTCTCCTGATCACCTTAAGCAACAATGCAAGCATGTAAGGGATACGGTTTCACCCCTCAAAACGCAAATGGTTGCTTCAGGATTGGGTTGCATCAGCACCTGAACTAGTGATAGGGAGTGAAGTAGTTGAGCGTGTCGACCGCTTCACGTATCTCGGCAGTCTCATCAGTGCTGATGGCCTGGTGACTGAAGAAATCTCAGCACGGATACAGAAAGCTCGATTGGCTTTTGCCAACTTGCATCATTTATGGTGTAGGTGTAGGTCTACCAACAAAATGATGAGTTTACTGTTCAGCAGTTCGCTCCACCCTACTATTTAAATGCTAAACACGGCCAGTTAGATGTTGAGGATATTCGTAGGTTATTAGTATTCGATCGTAGAAGTCTTCGAAGCGTTGCTCGTTTATCCTGGGACAATCGAGTTAGCAATGCTGTTGTTAGGATGAAGGTATTAGGTGAGGATGGAAGATTTATAGATGGAACATTGAAACTTCCTCATTTGAGGAGGTTGGGACATGTATTACGAATGCCCAACCATCGACTACCTCAAAGAGCTATGTTTCGCTTTGTGGGACTAAGCTGGAAGAAAGTTAGTCAGCGGATAGACCAAAACACGGCACCTGTTTGGTGTCCACGAGACAATAGTAACCGATGGTTAGAGACTTTGATTGACATGACCCAGAATCCTTTGCAATGGCACAGGTGCATCCATTCTTTGTCTTCCCTCAAATTCTAATCCTATATCTTTCTAGTTATCTTGACTGTTATTTTTGTTCTCTTTTCTAGGTGAAAAAAATGTTTCGTTGTGCACTTGAAGAAAATTCCCTTGAATTAGAAAGGCATCGAAATATTTTTACTTGTTATCAAACAATTATCAAAGAATTAAATAATTATTTAGTGAAAAATCATGAAAACTATCCAATCGATTCCTCAACTGTTGACCCCTATAAACGTGACCCATTATTTTTGGATTTAACTTTTGATCTAATAAAACAAGCATTCCTTTGTAAAGAATGCTCACCTATTGTCAATAATTATATTCAAAAAATAAATAGTATAAATTTCACAGAAGATATAAATACTCCTGTACCGATTAAAGACGAAGAAATTGATATTGCAACCAATAATAACAATGCAGATAATCAAGTAAGTTCACTTGTTCAATTGGTTGTTTGTTTTTTTTAATTGAAATTACAGTTTTTTCACTGACATGTGTATATAAATCAGTTAACAATTTATTAAGTAGGGATTTCGAAATGCAAATATTAAATCTTTTATTCATTCGATTCATTGAAATCGCTTGTATTCATCCAGTAAATTGACAAAACACAAAGTAATGTATACTACTTTTATGTGTCTTGCTTCTTTCTTTTTCACAGAATAATGATCATTTCAATAATAAATCGGACACAATCATTAACGGTAATCTTACAAAAAGACAAGCAATCATATCTATTCTTGATAAGTTCAAATTATTGAATACAACTAACAATTGTCATTCGCCATCATTGAAAGTGGTGCCAGAATTAAATGGAAATAAATCAATGGAGGAATCCATCACCGGTAATACAACGAATGAAAAGAATTGTGAGATTTCATCACACTAACTAACACTTATCTACTTGAGATTCTGTAAATATATACATATATTTATATCTATCTATCTATCACTTTACATGTATTTATCCTATCGCTTTGCATATTTATAAATTAGAAATAATTTCAATGAACAATATGTTCGTGATTATGTTATCTGAATTTATTCACTAATCTATTGTCACAATTATTATCAATATTTTTTATTGTCGTTCTGATCAATCTAATCTTCTCTAATTTATCTTTTTTCGTTGTTATTAAGAAAATAGAGGAAATAAATCTTTTCATTTATTTACTTCCTTTATGTTATTTAATATATTATGAAATAAAAAAACCTTCTACTATTTTCATGATGATTATTTTAATTTGAATTACTCATGTTATGATAACTGCGAACATAAATTTTTGTATAGAAGTTGTGAGAAAAATATAACTTACTTACGCTTGTTACTCCTGATGGAGCATAGGCCACCGATCAGCATTCTCCAACGAACTCTGTCTTCCTCTCCAGTTCTACGCGGTTGCTATTCATCATTTTCATGTCTGTCTCCAACTCTCAGCTCACTGTGTTCATTAACCTTGAGGGTTCCAAGTCAGGGCTTGCCTTGTGACGCATTTTGGTGTGTGTGTGATAGAAGAACCAACCAGATCGTCTGCGAACTCCAGATCTCCCAGCTGTATCCGAGCTGTCCACTGTATCCTGCGCTTCCACTAATATGTTTATGTCTTCATAATCTAGTTGCCCACCGGGAGAAAGAGAAAAGGTGAGAGTAGGCGACCTTGTTTGACACTAGTCAGCACTTATAACGAGTCTGAGAGCTTTCCCACTATGAATGACCTTGCTTTTAAATCCATAAGAATTCTGTATGCTGTTAGCTATCTTCTCAGACACACCATAGTGTCATTGCTAGATCTTCCACGGATTTCGGGTTGTCAGCTCTGGTACCCCTTTCATTTGCTTGTTTTCCTATCTACACTCGACATGTGCCTCTTCAGCTGTTATCGATTGCTGAATTCGTGTTCTTCATTTCTCGAATCCTGACCAGAGTATCAACATAGATTCATCAATTGTGAAGGTGCTTCATGTGGTCTAGTAGCTCATATGAAGTCATTCCTTTCCAGTAGTTCTTCACTGTTTATTCCACCACTTACACTAGGTCATGTAAGATTTCGAACTTATTTCTGAGAATTATCTTGAATCCATCGAGCTTGCTCGTATCGGAAGGGAGATTATAGTAAGCTTTTGTTATTGTCTGTTCAGTTCTCCAGTGCTTCTTTAGCTTCGACTTCATTTTGGCGACCACCAGGTGGTGAACTGAAGCTATATCAACTCCTCTCTTTGTTCTGAAGGCTGTCATGGACCTTCTGATACATATGTGATCGGTTTGATTTTCGAAACTGTGGTCCGAAACAACCGATGTAGCTCTGTGCATGGATTTGTGTGGGTAAATGGTGCCGCTTATAACTGTTTTTCTGAAAGTATATAGGTTTACGAATCTCCCACCACTTTCGTTCCATCTACCCAGTCCATGTTGTATCGTCATATCTTCATATTCGCTGTTTTCAATCCCGACCTTGGCGTTAAGGTCTCTAAACAGAATGGTCAGGTCGTTTCGCGGACATTTCCACAAGGTTAAATGAACCGCTATCTCAAAACTGATATTCATCATCATCGTTGCGAACGTTGATATTTAATAACACTGAATGACAATAATTGAAATCCACTGCTCCTTTGTCTCGAAAGATGCTTTGATGACCCAGGGTCCGTGAGAATCCTATCCTGTAGGTGCTTCCCATACTTCTCTGGACAACATCGATGTAACTACTTGTGTGCGGCGTTTTCTAATTCATGGTTAGATTACAACAACAGCTCACCTGAAGCTAATCTTTTCTGGTCTGGCTTGACTCCAATGAGTTCTACGCGATCTGAATACCACCAGGTTGTATACCTTTATTTCCACAGCAACGTGAATGGTTCTTCCGATCTACCACGTTGTGTGAACATCCAGTTTACCATTATTATTAATTGTTGCTTCGGTTGCCAGAAGAGGTGTCGGCTTCGTGATTTCCGTAGAAACTCGACTTTAAACATGAGGCACCACAACTCATCTAAATGAAAACCTTTCAACTACCAGGGCAGAGTTCAAATGGTTTCAACGACTTTTCCTGGATAGCATTTTTTAGCAATGTTGTTTTCTATTGGGTGGTGTTGCAGACACTATGCATAACCGCCCTCCTTTATCCGGGTGTGGCATTGGCAGTAACCCAAGAAGAACTCCAAGTGGAAGTAATTAGCAGGATCAGAACTACACTATAATTAGAGCAGTTTTTTATCCTTTACAGGATAGGTATGTGTGTGTATACTGATCAGACGCAATGTGCATCCAGTCATATTTGATTTAGTACTTCATAACACATTCAGTTCATTGATTGACGCATGACTTTTATATTAACATTTTTTATACATCTTTCTTTTATTCCTAAAAGAACTACTTACTTACTTACTTTCGCCTGTTACCTCCAATGGAGCAAAGGCCGCCCACCAGTTTTTTCCAACCAACTCTGTCCTGGGCTTCCCTTTCCAATTCTGTCTAATTTTTGTTCATTTTTCTCATGTTTTTCTCTATTTCTCGGCGTAATGTGTTCCTTGGCCTTCCTCTTTTTCTTTTGCCCTGAGGGTTCCAAGTGAGGGCTTGTCTTGTGACGCAGTTGGGTGCTTTTCAACACATTATTGATATCATATTTTAGGCTAATTCTCTAGATTTCTAGCACCAAGTGCCAATTCGAGTGTTTCCAACAGCTCAGACTGATGGTAAGTGTCAGGATGTGTTGAGTACGATTTAGACTATCGTCAGATTCCTTTCCAGAATAATTTAGAAGAAATTAATGAATATCCAGTTGGAAATTCCTTATCATGATGAAAAAAACTAAGGAATTAATGCATGTAACTTATTCCAGAAGCAACCTGGATATTGACATTACTTCACGCAATGGTATTTAAGCTACATGAGCAATACAGTAGAATCAGTAAGCGACGGGAAAATAATGACACTATCCTAATACTTATGGGATATATTCAAAGGGAAACCTGGAAAACTAAACAAGCAGTGGAGTAGGAACCCAAAGAAACACTGATTGGGGCTAAACTTATAAGATAACTTCGCCTTGCTTATTTGTAGTAAAGGTGGACTCTGGCAACCACATTGCAAGAAAACAAATGTTTACAGAGGTAGTTAGCGGTACGATTTTGCCATAAGAGCATAGAATATGAACAGGACGTTGAAATAATTACACTTCGCCATAACATCAAGCCTTCCATAAACAAAATTAATGACAATACGAAGTACAATTCCATTATGGAAACTGTTGCGGAGATTTCTTACAGATCTAGTGTGAACAGATAGAGTGGACAATAAATACAAAGCAACATTTTGACGATGTTAATCGAACGAGTAAGCAAAGATGGGACTTTGCTAGAGTACTCTAATGTCTTAAGACAACGAAATAAGCGTAACGGTCTACGTAGTATTTTAAGTATTCACAAAGTAATAATTTGACTTCACATAGACCATAATTGTTTTTTCAATAATCCCAAGTCGAAATAGTATTAATTTTAGTCAACCTTAGCTGATATCAGCTGAAGTTGCAGGTGGCGCTCGACATGCTTCGTCCTAATTTTCAAGACTATACATGATATAGAACAGAAAACCTTCAGTTCATACGACAGCCAAAATGCTCTCTAATCATTTTATCAAAATCTATTGGCTTTAGCATTCCAAAAGAAATACCTTTGAATCAAGAAATTTCCAAATAGCAAAAAAGTGGTTATACGTACTTCAAGAGATTCAGTAATACTACATATTAAATTACTCAGATTGCACTACCATAGATATGCAAATCATTTAGTCATAGACAACGTATGAGCATGCTACATAGGTGAACATGTTTAGGTCACCTCACGCTAGCACTCAGAAAAAAACCATGAAGACAAATCCCGTGGTACTAGAGCTAAAAACCAAATCAATAGTGGTAGTTGTAGAAAAATTCAAAGAAAAAAGTATAGGATTTAGGTACATTGTATCTAAGGAAGATAGGATATAGGCACTTACATCATTGCAAACGAGTTTGAATCATGTGACCACCAGACGACAAACAAGCAACCTACATCTGTCAATATGATTTAGTTCAACCGATAAGGACTTCATGAAGTGACCGCAATAATTTGCCTTCTCCTAGCTAACTCTATCTACTACTACATCAGACAAGATTGCCAGTCGTAGTAAACAGTGGTTGAGCATATGTAGCACAAGTTCCAAACACTTCAATTGATGAAGATTCCAAACCCTGTCGACTGGTTAGTCACCTCCTAATTCAGGCAATGCTTACACCAAAATAAACGAGCAATGCTTCAAATGCAAGTAACTTACGAATATCCCCTTTTCTCAGCAGCCATGTTTAACAGCTATAAAGTAGAACGAAGCTAAATGCTGCGAAAAAAAAACAGCGTTTACACCACACCTGATACCCGACCGTAGCTGCTACCTTGACGTGGTGGTCGGGTTTGCCTATCGTGATGACCCAACCGAGCTATATTCGCTGGAACATATGTTCCTGCAGGTCCTACCATGCCAGGCAGGTCGATTGGAGAACGATGAGACTAAAAGCAGCTACCCAAGGTCTGAGGGCGAAGTCGTACTGCTGACTGCAGAAGGGTGTGACAGCAGTAAGGTGTTTCCCTCGGACAACCAGCATCTGCAGCGATGCTACCTTCTCACAAGGAAGGAAGGGTTAGAAAAGGTCGGCCCTAAAAATGTCACACCTCCCCTAACTCACGGATTCCGTCTCCGTCGGTAAGGGTGCCCACTAATGGCCTTTAAGAACGGAGCTAATACTCAAAAAACGTTTCATAAAAAGGCCGTGCGTGACCGGCCTCAAGCAGTTGTCACTTGGGCTCTGCGGTCACGCACCCAGGTCTCTAAGACCAACACTAATCTATTTTCCTTTTCAGGTTCCTCAAGAAACAACCTTCCACGGTGTGGGCAGCCGGGAAGTGACAACCGCCCTCATACCCGTAACAGCACACGAGACCAAATTGGTCAAAATCAAATCCTTCCTACACCCCCTAATTCCTCTCTTATCTCCACGACTAACTCTTCTCACATTCATTTATCACAGTGCACAGCTAATGCAGACGACACGAGTTCGCGAAAGGTAGTTCCTGGTCTCCTTAAACCTCGCTCTAGACTACATGTTGGAGCATTTAATGTACGGA